TATCAATGTTTGCTCTTGCAATTTTCTCTCTCTGCATTGCTTTTCATTAGACTGTTTCAGACAATGAGGAAATTGAACATCGGAACCTCTATCTCTCTCCCTCTGTCTCTCTGGAGCAATAACATTTTATTCTACCTCACCTCAAAGGGTGTTATATTTGTTGTTGAACCGTTGTCAAAGCTTCAAATGGAAACGGTGACATTCCAAACGATCGATTTCAGCTAATGAAGTTGTCTCGCTTTATGTCAGTTTACTCTTTCTTGGCTCATTTGGTTTCACTAGTCACGAGTATTGACTATGCTTGTAACCTATCAGAAAATGAAGCACAATGGAATAGAAGTTTTAATATTGGATAGTCGATAAAAGGGATACTGATTGCGACACGGTATAAAGTGATAATCAAAGCACACCGATGAGACAAATATCAAATCATATTGTCTCTCGAATGTAATATTCTGTTGAAACAAAGAGGTGCCTTTACATTTTTCTCAAAGAATATTTATTTATTCGTTAATTTCTATTTTTCCCCTCCAAAGTAGTACCCCTCAGATATAATACACTTGTGCCAGCTTTTTTTCCAATCTTCGATATGCACTTTTTGTTATGTCCTTGAGCTAGCCCAGCGTTTCGTCTTTAATCTCCTCAATTGTCGTCAAACGCCGTCCTTTCATGGATTTATTATTGAAGATGTGGCTTAGTGCCCTTCTGGCCGCAATCTTTGTTTTTTCTTTGTCGATGAATCCTGCATTTCTTCTCCTTTCATTTGACGTGCCGTACGTGACGATGCTACTATTATTAATGAAGATGTGGCTCAGTGTCCTTCTGGCAGCAATCATTTGTTTTTTCTGTGTTGATGAATTCTGCATTTCTTCTCCTTTCATTTGGCGTGCTGTGCGCGATGTTCCGACTATTATTAACGAAGATGTGGCTTAGTGCCTTTCTGACCACAATCTTTGTTTTTTTCTCTGTCGATAAATTTTTCATTTCTTCTGCATTCATTTGATGCGCTGTACGTGACGATGCGACTATTTTTAACGAAGATGTCGCTTAGTACCCTTTCGGTATGTCACCATATTTGATTTTTCTCTACTCCACACTGACTTCATCACCTTCTTCATCATAAACACATGCATATTGCATCGTATAACTCTTACACACGTCACATCTACATCGAGTTGGGTATTCCACAAGGATCCGTCACGGGGTCTGAAAATGACTAAAATTAAGCTCCATAAGAAAAAGCATCTGATTTTGAGCCACAAACGGCGTTTTTTTATTAAATTACGTATTTTGAGACACCCTGTACACATTGAAGAATCGCACGTTAAAACGATAGAGCCCCGTTAAACTGTCATATTTTTAAATGACGTATTTTGAGACAACCTGTACACATTGAAGATTCATACGTTAAAACGATAGAGCCCCTTTAAACTGCCATGTTTTTTCTTGAATGACGTATTTTGAGACACCCTGTACACATTGACGTCATTTATTTTCCCTTTACGTTTTTTCTTCAACGATGGCAGACCTGTTTTTTTTCTTTAACGCTGTACTGAATTCCTCGCCGCTTTTTTCTTTAAAGCTGCACTGAATGCCGCCATGTTCTTTTCTTCAATCCGATTTGTTATTCATTATTACTATTACACCAGTATTTTTATAATTCAGCCATGTCATTATCTCTCAACTTAATCTCTTCGATACTCTTGCCGCTGTGTGCGTGGTTGCTTCTGATTGGTCGACTGAGTAATGACGAAAAGTGAAGGAGTGGGGGGGGGTTCTGTAGAGCGCGACTCCCACTCTTCAGTCTTGGGAACAGGAAATAGTCGCATGAGGCCAAATTCTTTGATCCAATTTTTTCGATAGGAAATTGCCGAACAAAGTTAACGTGAAAGATATCCTTTTCAGCACTTTTTAATAAGAAAAACAATAGTGCGTCATCACCCGTCGTCATGGAAAAGAGTTTCTTGTTACTCTTCGTATTCCAACATTAGCTTGAAATGTTCATCCACTTGGCAATAATGAAGTCTGCTTCCGAATTCCTTTCTCAAATTATGTAATGTTTCTGCAGTAATTTCGTTGCAAACACCTTTTATTCTCTTCATGAATTCTGGATTGGTTGCGGTTTTGTAACGTATACTTTAGATTTCACGAATCTCCACAAAAAATCTAAGGATGTCATATCAGGTGATCTAGCTGGCCATTCTAAGGAACCATGTGCGCCAGTTAGGATAATTGTCATCTAACCAACGTCGAAACAGTCAGTCATAATTAGGTTTACATTTTGCTGCAACGTAATTTGAATATATTAGATTCTAGGTGAAATAATTCCAAAACATCATCTATATAGTACTTATGAATCTGAAATCTATAAAAATAACATCGCTATAGTGAAAGGTACCTTCAAAGTGTTAACTGAAATTCAGATAGGCGTTTCAGAGTTTCATTTTTTCTTAATTCTGAGCAGGGATCCACACCCCATTTTTTATATATTCAGGATTATTCGAGTCGCTTCTAATTTAATTAGTAAAACATTCAGTCGGGTTGCGTTTAATAGGAAACATTTTCAAAGTTAGAATACAGTTGACATTGAAAAGGCTATCTCAATAAATAATAGAAGTTTAAAAATATCAAACATCAAAGCGTAACAAGCCTGGAATATTAAATTTGTTATGAATATTGTTCATGTTACTTCATAGGCGGAGTTTGAATTTTTTGAATGATACAGACGTGGATTAATTTATTTTAATGATTTACAATGATCAATTTTTTGTTGAAGATAACAATCTTGGCAGAGCTGGAGAAGTAACTACAAATTTCTAACTTTGGAATTTTAAAAGTAGCAGTGTTACTAGCTTCATTCCGCTTTGAAGGCCGAAACTGATATTCAATTTTTCGATGGTTACTTCATTTGACCTACATAAATAACATTTTTCTAAGGAACATAATAAAGTAAATTCAAGTCCAACAAATTTATCTACATTCTCTGTCAGTGTTGACCACCTACGCTGCTGCTATTCAATAAACAATTAAACTTTTCGATAGGGTAATAAATGTCGTAACTAACGCACATTAACCAGACGAATATCCTGCAAAAAAATATACACGAATTATGCCCGGGATTACCGCGCGGATGAATAATTTAGCTGACACGTAAGAGGAAGGCATAAAGAATTGCCTGTTTGAATTATTGCCTTTGTCAAAATATACTTCTTGTTATGAATGGCCGTTGAGTATTATGATTCCAATTAATCAAAACCGAAAATATTTTTTGATTAATTTCATTTAGAATTCGCGAGTTTTTTTTAGAGAATTGACGAATGATTTATGAGATGTGGATTTTTTTTAAGTTGTTTGTTTAAGAGAAATTCCAATGGAATGAAGATCCACTGTTTCTAATGGAATTATTTCTGATTGGTGGTAAATATTTCCTTGTTTCAGTGTTGATCGTACTTACTGCGCCATTGAAGTTTTTTACGTTGAATTTATATTGATATAGAATTTATTTATTTCGAATGAAGATCTCTGGAAGTTTACTCTGTAAAAACATCGTTCTTCAGATGAGTTCTGAACCTGAAATGCTTTTGTTTGTGATTTTCCTCCACGAAGTAGTCGAAATGGTGCAGAATTATGGAAGTTGCTGAACATAAAATAGTCATCGTTGAATAAATCTAATACTGAGATCTTGTGGATAGTTATTGAATTGAAAACGTTGATTTCACGTGGAAATGAAGAAATGATATAGTGGTATGAACTATTTCATTTGATAATAATTGATATTGACAGTCGACAACTTGAAAATTGGATAATTTTACCTCATTTTCATATATTCATTCTAATCTTTGTAAATGAATGAACCTTTAGTATCAATTCTGTGTATTAAAGGTCGACATTTAATGATAATTTTCTGCTTTGAGCTGACAAATGAATAAAATGAGTGAAATATATTCATGTCACAATCAACGCGTGAAATAAAGTTCCCTTGCTGTGTCTGTCAATCTATGCGTCTGAATGCGATTGACTCAAAAACTACCAATGGACGGAGCGACTTCAGAAGGAGGTTACATGTAATTTGGCAATTGAAAAGCTATTTCGACGAATACTATATTAATTCCCAAGCTTTTCATGCATATTATAGCTGGTCCTTCACACCATACAATTCAAATTAATATCTTGAAAGTTATCGCAAAATTAAAACTATCGCACAACGAATTCCCCCTGATTCAATACGCGTGATGAAGAAAGGTTGCGATTTAGTTTTTGTTTTACGTAGGTAATTACTTTGAAGGTCAAAGTGTCATATTTGTTTGTGTTGTTTCAAAATAAAATTATACATGTGAATATGCTTCTCTTTGAGTGGATTTCGTTGAAGATTATTGTTATTCAAATCATCTAAAAGAACAACAGTATTTTTTTAAATTATCTAAGAACAATTCGTTCAGGCCAGTCTCAACTCCCTACACTGTAGATTAATGTACTGACACCTATCAGAAAACAACTGCTCCCCTGGCTAATACCACGAAGGGCGTTGGATTATATCCGACAGGTGTCAGTGCAGGATTTTTCACTGAAGTTTTTCCTACATATACTGTTGAAGATACAACTGCCGCAACAGATTTTCAATTATTGGAACACACTTGCAGACCGGTTTCGTGCTGGTTATCAGCTGATGCGATACCATGACGGAAAAAATGTAGGCATATACGCTCTGATATTTTCAAATATATGTCTGAGTATAATTAAATTTGAGGTAAGTAAGGACTGTATTTGAAAATAGAAGTGTTTTTCTCTGTGTGAAATGAAATTAAATAGACTATTTATTGATTGAGTTCAAGAAAGCTTTAGAAGAAAAATGTTCGATAGATGACTTTCACGCAATAATAAATCTAGTCCCAGATTAGCCCCTCTTCAGAAATATACGGATCTTAGTGTCTACTATTTGCTAAAAAACATGAATTTCATTCAGAGTTCAATCGTATTCTATATGTTTTTCTTTGTTACAGGAAAGTCCATCTGGCAGTTAGTTTTAGAACAATTCGATGATCTTCTAGTCAAGATTTTATTATTAGCCGCTATTATTTCATTTGTAAGTATTGCGAATATATTAAAATCGAAAGATTTATCAGCAATTTTCAAAAGCAGTTATAATAACGATGATGATTTATTATTAAACAAGAATGCAATGCAGTCTGTTATGATAATAATAAAGTGCGCAAAGTTTATTTGTGAGTATATGTTGAGTTTTTTCGCTGAAATGAACAATGCATCGTTTATTAAAACCCATAAAACTTTTTATGAAAGCTTCCATCTGCTATTATACGGATAAACACGTGTATTGCTAGAGCTATGGCACACCTATTTGTTATTAAAATTATTGCATTCCTTAACGACCTAATTTGAGATTAGAAATGCAATTTATAATACCTAATACCTAATATTGTAGTCCATTTTAGCCGTCTTTGGGAAAGAAATATTCCGGCTTACAAAAAACCGTGGGATGAAAAGTATTTTATAATTTTGTATAATTTTTTGTGTGAGTACCACGTGATTAGGTTATACCTTTTAAATTGATCCCAGGTTGTTTCATAATTAATTTACAAAATAATTATATATCTAGTAAAATCATAATTAGGCAAGGTGTACCTCAGGGCTCGATCCTCGGACCAATACTCTTCCTTTTATATGTAAACGACTTATCCAACGCTTTGAATCTGGGTGGTATATACCAGTCCGCAGATGACACATCAGTCATTATCACAGAAACTAATACATCAGAACTCTCAACCAAAGCTTCTGCCATGTCAAATGATTCGGTCAAAACAGGACTTGTGAACTTTTAATGAATCAATTAACTTTGATGTATATCTATATGTGAAACTCCAAAATAAGTCTGTTCCAATATCTGGTCATACTAAATTCTTAGGTATCACGATGGATGCAAACCCAAATAAACTTTTTAAATTACAGATTAAGCTCTATTTGTGTTGTGATACGATATTTGAGGGTCAAGTTTCTGTTTGTAGTCCGAAAACATAATCCTATGCCCATGTGTATACTCACAAAAAAATTCATTATTCAAAAAAATTCTGTGATGTATCCTAAATCTAGATCGAAGAAGCTCTTGTAAGGAGTTATTTGGTAAACTTGAAATTTTGACAGTGCTCTCGTTGTACTTCTTGGGTCAGTGTAAATGAGAATTGCCTTCTCGAAAGTTTGACTTTTGATGTGTCCACTGTTGGATTGAAATAAAAGATTATTATTATAATTATTATTTTTTTAACCGTAGTGTGCGCTGGTCAGGCCCTATCCCCCGAAGCCCCGATACATTCGGGAGGGCGCGCCAGCATTATCAACCAACGACCACTCTCCACACCGTGGGGTAAGTGATCATTGGGTCCGAGAATCAGATGCCCTGAGCAAGCGCACTGAGCCAAGAATGACAGTCTTCTGTATCTGTCCGGCTAAGATTTCTGCCTCAGTGCGGCAAGCCGGTATGATTTCAAGATTCGAGAGTAGAGCGGGTATCATTCCACCAAAGACTCAAATAATCAGAACAATCATCTTGACAGAGTGATCTGGATAGAGTCTGCGAAGTTCGAAGTGAAAATCTCGATATTTTATCCGTTTGTCCCCCCTTTTTTGGACGATATTCGTCTCGCGAGGAGCTGAAAACTCCACGACAAATATCGTCTTGCTTTGATGGTCGAGAAGGACTACATCAGGAGTACTAGCTTGTATGAGCCTGAGGGTGGGGAACGAATAGTTCCAATAAATTTGGCACTTCTCGTTCCCCACAACGGATTCAATATCTCCCGGAACGTAGGGCCACACCGGTGTCTCGTCAATACCTTAAGAGTGCCGTAGATGGTAATATAGCACTCTTAGGGCCGCGTTATGTCGTTGGATATACCCAGAGACCGCATATGCTTGACATGCTGAAGCAAGTGCATTATGGTCCCGGGCACCTCGCGGCAGACCCTGCACTCTGTGTCAGGAAACTCAATACCCATCACGCAACTGCAGTAGACTAAGGTGTTGAAGACACCATCCTGGCAAGCTATGATGAACCCCTTAGTTTCCGACTTTAGCCCACTCGACCTGAGGAAAGCGAAAGTCAGGCGCTTTGATAAGCTTCTTCAATGTTATTGAAGAAGACCCCATGCATTGGCTTATCCTTATGTTTTCGCAGAAGTGAGGTGATCTCTGCGGCTTTTATATGAGCTTTTTGTTGACGTCACTTCGTTCAGTGTCGAAAACTAAACCGAGTTTATCAGCTGCTCGGGCAGCTGCCCTAAGGAGAAATGTTCCAATTCCTGCTCTCTCATGGTCACGGACCATGCAGAGAAGGGGATCCGAACTCCTGACGATTTTACAGGCTATATCCAGTACCATTCTGTCATGTAGACACTAAAGATTATTGAAATTGGGATTGTCATCAGGGCATTGAAACTGGGAAACATCAATTATGAATGTGGATCGATGACGTAATGAGAATTCGCTCGGTGAATCATTCTTTAATAAATCTGTCGTAGCGAATCAAGCCGAATTATATTCTGGAAAGAAAACAGAATCACATATGTCAATCATCGACTGTCGTAGCTTAAAAGAAAATAGATACTCGCTTTGATGATTTTGTACGTTGATTCGATAGAATTATTTTTATGTGGCCTCTTTAGAGTATTCGGCTGGCTAAGTTCGACTGTCTGATGGATTTGTTGTCGATTCGAAATTGAGAGGTCTATTTTCGATACTAATGTGACATTATGAAAGCGGCATTGATTGTTGAAAGGTATCTTCTGATGATCGAAATCTGTTTTCGAAATCGATTTCTGAAGGAATGTTATTTATCAACTTCGTGGAAATTATTACTGGTTTATATAAACATATATGGAATTCTGAGTGTGAATATAGGCCTAAAATAATTAATTCAATTATCCAAAATAAATCCACCGCATGCAATTCATTAACAACTAAAAAAGAAATTTGTAAGGATTTTTTTAATTTGTTTTCAAAAATTGGTACTAAATTGACAACAACATTTGAGGTGAGATTTGTTGTAGCTGCATACACGTGACTGATAAATCAGGAATAGAGTCGTATTTCGTGTAAATAATTCATTTGCAATTTACAAATTATTTGATTTAAAAGCATTAAATATCGACATCACCTGCATTTAAAAGTAATGTTTAAAAATGTTTTCATTATCCATAACTGAAATTCAAGAAGTTGCAATTTCTTCTTCTTTATTTCCACACTCGCTTTATTTGAAGAAGAGGTTATAATTTCTTCTTCTTTATTTTCAGGTACTCGCTTTATTTGAAGACCACGATGGTGCATTCACGGCCTTCGTAGAACCCTTCGTAATTCTTTTAATTCTCATAGCGAATGCGGTAGTAGGAGTATGGCAGGTATGTATTTGAATTTATATTATTCCATCATTTCAATTCTTGCTGTGAACAATGTGACACGGAATCATTGAATATTATAACTCTGGCGTTTCAATTCTAGTCCTATTCGAATATACATACTTTGTGTGGTTTAATATTTTGATATTGCAGTACTTTATAATATAAGTACTCTTCAATGAAGTTAGAAACGTTTCAAATCGGATAGTTGTGATAGTCTAGCTTCTCAACCACATTTCTTCTTCTTCTTCTAATGTTGTTTTAGTTCCATAGACTCCGTAAAGAGTTGGGTTTTGTTGAATATTATTGTATTCCTTCCACATATTTATAATAAACACGGTGTGTTTCGTTTAAAATATTGTTAGTGTTAGTATATAATTAACATATAATTAATATCAGGATAAGTTCCTTAACATATAATTCACTGTAGGTTGCATAAGTTTCTTATAGTTCTGGTGATGTAAGATTTCTCTTCATTCATCAAAGACATTATTGATAATGGATTGTTGAAAAGTTTGTTATCTTCAATTTCTACAGCTGGAATTTTTCAGATTCATTTGTGACGAAAGACAAAAGCTGTCGCTGCTTCAATTCATTTATTTTTCAACACTTCCAATCTATATCGTAATCATTGATAAATTCTGTCTATCAATCAGCAGTCCGGATTATTGGCATGGCATTACAAAAATATTGGAAACTTATTCCTAGATATGTGCTTTTTATAGATTTGAAATTGGGTACACTTGGATTTATCTGTCTTCGTTTGTTTCCTCTCACAATGTTTTTGATAGAGTCAAGTAATACCTTTCTATTATGGATATATTGGTCGAGAAGCAGAAACAGGTCTTTGGCACAGAAGAAGAACATTTTTCCCCTCAAATTTCTATGAAAAAATCCTTAACCAGCCAAGTTCTGGACTTGGAAAGTTTCCTAAATGCCTTGGTACAATATCACAGTTCTGAGAGGTCCTAAACTACCACCTTGGCGTCAAAATATCAACAATTTCATAAAAAAACTAGGGTACCTCAAGGTTCAGTTATTGGGCCACTTATTTTTGCAATTGATATTAGAGAATTCATGAATTACAGACATTAACATACGTTAATGGAAACCTTCAATCACTGTATCCTGTTCAAATAACCTAACCATAAATTCCAGAAGTAGAAGGATTGATGTGTGTGAATCATTGATCCCTATTGACATTCAGAAAAAATCCAAAAATATAGGTCCATTTGAAAATAGATAAGGTTCGCTTATCATTCAACAGACACAAAATCTTGATTCAAATAACGATGCTCCAGGACTTCTGTTAAAAACTCTGAAAGGAACCCACTTGTTCACTTTGATACTCAATATTCTTCTGCCGGGATGTCCACCTTATATGAAAAGTTGGTTTCCCATGGTTCCAATTTCACCCAGCAATTCTTCAACAAAGTAAACATTTTGTAACTCGACCATAGTTCTATAACTTGAAGAGGTTTCCTCAGTGAATTTATAGTACATGCTAAATACTCTTGATAACTTTAAATTACAATAGAATTAATGGTACCGCGTTTCTTTCGAATTGTGTATTATGGTTCTGGATACTATATTTTTTAGATAAAACTCAAATGATTTGAATTTCGTATTACAGGAAAGGAACGCAGAATCCGCCATCGAAGCCCTGAAAGAATACGAGCCCGAAATGGGCAAGGTGATCAGAGGCGACAAGTCGGGCGTACAGAAGATCAGAGCGAAGGAAATAGTGCCTGGGGATATCGTTGAGGTATCCGTCGGTGACAAGATCCCCGCCGACATCCGCTTAGTGAAAATTTTCTCGACGACGCTCCGCATCGACCAGTCCATCCTGACTGGAGAATCCGTCTCGGTTATCAAGCACACGGACGCCATTCCCGACCCGAGGGCCGTCAACCAGGACAAGAAGAACATCCTCTTCTCCGGTACCAATGTTGCCGCCGGAAAAGCTCGTGGTATCGTCATCGGGACCGGTCTCAACACCGCCATCGGTAAGATCAGGACGGAGATGTCGGAGACGGAGGAAATCAAGACGCCTCTGCAACAGAAACTCGACGAGTTCGGCGAACAGCTGTCGAAGGTGATTTCGGTGATCTGCGTCGCTGTATGGGCCATCAACATCGGGCATTTCAACGATCCCGCTCACGGCGGGTCTTGGATCAAGGGTGCTGTCTACTACTTCAAAATCGCCGTAGCTTTGGCCGTGGCCGCCATCCCCGAAGGTCTTCCAGCCGTTATCACCACCTGTCTCGCTCTGGGAACTCGTCGTATGGCCAAGAAGAACGCCATCGTCAGGTCAGTAACCAAGCGTATTTTTGTCAATTTTCTCTGTAACGATTGAAAGTTACCCCTGTCTTACTAGTCCAGCAATCATTGATGTACATCGTAAAGTGAACATCGTAAAAATCGGGAACAGTCGCGAATTTTCGAACTTTCTTTCCATATCTTACTAAAGGACTAATATTGTAAGAGTTACTGAAACTTTGATAGATTTGCATTTGTATAAACTGTGTTCTGATAGCCAGATACTCACGTTTCTGGTTCGGGTTAAAATGTGGATCGATCCACTGTTACAAGGAATGTGGAATTCTATGCCAAGAAAACTTCAAAAGAGCCTGCCAGATTCCCTATAGTTGTGGATCCGTCTACACTGGAACCAGCTTTCTGAACACAAGAGATAGTGTCTAATGGAACATGCATTCACGAACGAAGAAACCTATGTATTTGATAGAACTAATGACCTACTACCAATCGTATATGCGGAAGCAATAGAAATTCAAAAACAAAAATTATTTAAATCGAAAACAAGAGGGAATTAACACCGATAAAGTCTGGCTACCTGCACTAAATGGCACAAGTTAAATGTCATTTATTTTAACCAAAAGGAAAGAAACCATGCCCGTCACCAAGAAAATAAAACTGGTGACTCAAATCTTCAATTTACGAGGGTTGCCTTTTATGTTTAGGGATTTGGCAACTCTAGTGTTGCAATCTGGCAACTGACAGCTCTATCGTAAAGTTGGACATTTTTGAGCTTATATGAACTCAGAACGTTTCAACATACGCGCGCTATTTGTGTTGTTTACAGTAACTTGGAAAGATTCATCTCGGCACAAAAATGGAATTAAATCGTGAATATTTTCGTGCGATTATTTCTTACAACTTTCGACGTGGATTAACTCAGCAACACTGCATGGATGAACTTAATTCAATTTTTGGCGATGAAGCTTCATCAAGGACCAGTGTTTATCGATGGTATCGTGAATTCAATCGTGGTCGTAGTTCACTCCAAAACGAATTTCGTGAAGGTCGTCCAAAATCAGTTGTTGTTCCGAAAACCATCGATTCTGTGCGCGAACTGATATTGCAAGATCGTATGTAACCTATCGTGAGATTGAGACAACCTTAGGCATTAGTGGGACAGTCATACATTCAATAGTGCATAAACATTTGACTGTCAAAAAAAATTTGTTCGCGTTGGATCCCATACAATGGAAATGCTCAAAAAATACGATCGCGGTGCTTCGAAACACGTCTATGACATCGTGACAGGTGATGAATCGTGGATTTACGCGTATGAGCCCGAAAGTAAACAGCAGTCGTTTCAAGATGAGCCAAATCCATCAAAAGTTGTTCGCGTACAAAGCACTTCCAAGCAAATGGTCGCCTGTTTTTTTCGAAAAAACCGGACATGTCGCAACCGTACCACTAGAACAACGCAGAACAGTCAATTCTGAGTGGTACACAACCATTTGTTTGCCAGTTGTCTTTCAAGAAATCGGGAAAACCAACCGCTGGAGACGGATCACTCTTCACCACCACAATGCGAGCTCTCACAGCGAGGTCAACGTTTTTCGACACCTGAAGAAGCTGTTGCTGCATTCAGAATGCATGTTTTGGAGATACCTCAATCAAAGTAGCAAAAGTGCTTCGACAATTGGTTCAAACGCATGCAAAAGTGTATAGATCTTCATGGGGAATATTTTAAAAAACAATAACGGGATTTTCGATGAATAATATTTGTTTTTGTTCTCTAATCCCGAAATATAAAAGGCAACCCTCGTAATATCTACTATGAGAGCAGCCAGAACACTTCGTCGCTTTTGATAAAATGTCTACCGCAGTCTTAGACAAAACGCCAGGCATAAAAATCTGCAGACCACGACCAACAACTCCGGAAAATAGCTTTGACGCAGTCATCCACGCCCGTGAAAATGAACAATTTCTGCTCTACACAAATTGTTCTTACCTGAGTCACTTCCACCTTTTGGATTTACTGGACATACTACCACCATAAAAAAGATATGTTAGCTAGGTTCCACATTTGTTTTGTCAAAACAAGATGTATTTCAACAATTCTTGTATTATTTCGTTCTTGTATTATTTCGTTCTTGTATTATTTCGATAAGAATCTTAAACAAATGAGAGAAAATATTGATTTTCTCAGTAATGTCCACAAAAAAAATCCAAACCTTGTAACTAATAAGGAATTAAAAGCCTTCAGGAACCAGTATAAAAAGGCACTTTCAGATAGTAAGCGAAAAGCAAATGACCGTTATGTAAGAAATAGTAGTAACAGTCAATCAGCTATGTGGGACATTATAAAAAATAACAATCCAGTTTTTAACATATCTGAAACTGCAAACATCAATGCGGCCAACTTCAACGATTTCTTTGTCAGTATTGCAGATAATATAGTGAATGCGTTACCTAAAGCTGATAAAAGCCCAGTAGATTATATTGATATCGATGCCATAAACAGATCTAGTGTCAAATTTGAGTTCAAGAAAGTAACTTCTAATGTATTTTTTTTTTCTTTTCTTTTCGACTTGTGTAAATACTGCTGTATGTTAGCATCAATAAATGATTATTATTATATGCAACTGTTTGTTTTAGGTCGCTGCCCTCCGTAGAAACCCTGGGATGCACCTCCGTCATCTGTTCTGACAAAACCGGTACTTTAACCACCAACCAGATGTCCGTCTCGCGCATGTTCATCTTCGACAAGGTCGAAGGCAACGACAGCAGCTTCCTTGAATTCGAAATCACCGGCTCTACATACGAACCCATCGGCGAGGTGTTCCTCAAAGGACAGAAAGTCAAGTGCAGCGAATTCGACGGCCTGCAGGAACTCGGCACGATTTGCGTGATGTGTAACGATTCCGCTATCGACTTCAACGAGTTTAAACAGGCTTTCGAGAAGGTCGGCGAGGCTACGGAAACGGCTCTCGTCGTTCTGGCCGAGAAAATGAACCCGTTCAGCGTCACCAAGACTGGAGATCGTCGCCAGATTGCTATCTGCGTCAGGAACGAGATTGAATCCAAATGGAAGAAGGAATTCACACTGGAGTTCTCTAGAGACCGCAAATCTATGTCGTCCTACTGTATTCCCACGAAGCCTTCTCGTATCGGAAACGGACCTAAACTGTTTGTCAAGGGAGCGCCTGAGGGAGTGTTGGACAGGTGCACGCACGCCCGAGTGGGCACGCAGAAGGTTTGTAACAATCTCATAATAGACATCCGATAGATATCCACAAGTCATCTGATGGATATTCATTGGACACAGATTGATGCCTAATGGACATCCACTAGATATTCACAGGATATTCTATTGATATCTGGTGGACATTCATTTCAGGTAGCCTATTGAAGGGCCGTATCTCCGAGAAGAGATGTAGTCGACAAACTTCAACTTATGACTTGTCACCATGTCATAAGAAAAAAGTAACAAAAATTTGTTGAGCCTTGATATCCAAATATTCAAAAAATATTCAGTCAATGACTTCTGTGGCATTATTACTTCTTCTAACTCTCAGAACTGCTATAATTCTCAACCTAGCCACCCTTGTATCCATGTTCAGTTACATTGTGTTCAACCTTCTCGATGACTATACGTACTAATGAATCGATTGGTCATTACAGGTTCCTCTTACCAGCGCCCTGAAAAAACGTATCGTCGAGCTGACCGCGCAGTACGGTTGCGGACGAGACACCCTCCGTTGCTTGGCACTCGCTACGGCCGACAACCCCATGAAGCCCGAAGATATGGACCTCGGCGACTCCACCAAGTTCTACACCTATGAAGTCAACCTGACCTTCGTCGGCGTCGTCGGCATGTTGGACCCTCCTCGTAAAGAAGTATTCGATTCGATCGTGAGATGTCGCGCTGCTGGAATCAGGGTCATCGTCATCACCGGAGACAACAAGGCCACAGCCGAAGCTATCTGCAGGCGTATTGGCGTTTTTGGCGAGAACGAAGACACCACCGGAAAGTCTTACTCCGGCAGAGAATTCGACGATTTGCCCACGTCCGAGCAAAAAGCCGCTTGCGCACGCGCCAGGTTGTTCTCGCGTGTAGAGCCCGCCCACAAGTCCAAGATTGTTGAGTACTTGCAGAGCATGAACGAAATTTCCGCTATGGTAAGTTAGAATAGGAGTAGTAGTATCAATAAATGCTGTCTGGTCCCAGTAACTCATGTTTGAAATGAGTTAACGTCATTTAATCTTCTCCATTATTTACAACACTTTGCCACTTGCCATCCCTTCCTAAATACTCCGTTTGGAGTCCACCAATTTGAATTTTTTTGTTCCTGAATGTATAGTTAGCTAATCAATTTCTTCATATAGACTGGTGACGGTGTTAACGACGCCCCCGCCCTAAAGAAAGCCGAAATCGGTATCGCCATGGGTTCCGGAACCGCCGTAGCAAAATCCGCCTCTGAGATGGTTTTGGCCGACGACAACTTCTCCTCCATCGTAGCCGCCGTCGAAGAAGGTCGCGCTATCTACAACAACATGAAGCAGTTCATCCGATACCTGATCTCTTCAAACATCGGCGAGGTCGTGTCCATTTTCTTGACTGCCGCTCTCGGTCTTCCAGAAGCACTCATCCCCGTCCAGTTGTTGTGGGTCAACCTGGTCACAGACGGTCTTCCAGCTACCGCCCTCGGTTTCAATCCTCCCGACTTGGACATCATGAACAAGCCTCCTCGTAAAGCCGACGAATCTCTCATTTCGGGATGGTTGTTCTTCAGGTATCTCGCCATCGGAGGATATGTGGGAGCGGCGACTGTTGGTGCTGCCGCCTGGTGGTTTATGTATTCCCCTCACGGACCCCAGATGAACTACTATCAATTGGTAAGGAAAATTATAATAAGTTCACAGAAGTAATACCCTGTTTTACCAGTAAGCTCTGGGTAAGAAACTCGCCGCGTTCGACACATTGTTAGGAATATATTTATTGCGAAGAGCGCTTTAATTGACAAAAAGACAAATACCATCATAATTTAATATAAATAAATGTAGAATTAGAATAACTCTATGCAGAATCACAATTCCGGCTGCAGCCAGCCAAGCCACATGAAGATGCCAAGTCCATACACTCAAACGATATACTACACTCCAATCAGCAATCCTCCCTATACACACATTACATCTCTCGCTTAAATCCCATTTGACACCCATGAAACATCTCCGATCATGCCACCTCGACCAATGCCAACTCGTTCTGTCCAAGTACTTATGGATGGTTGTCGAAGCGGTCAAGTGCACCAAACGCTCATATCGGTTGGACTCTGACCTCAAATGTCATCCTTTCGCAGGCGGAGTCGCCGGTCTAAAATCGTTTGAGATTTCTATGCTACTCTCAAACTGTTTGGGGCTTTCTGGCAAAAAGTGTCCCAGAAACCCCATAGATATACTACTAATATTGATGTTTATGTTGTGCACTTTGATTTTGAAAATTTGCCACTTATTTCTACCAAGTATATTTTACTTATTGAAGACGAGTATTTGGAAGCCAACTAATTGAAACATTTAACAAAAATGGAGCTTTTTGAGTTGCATATTGAGTTGCAATTTATCTTGGTCGCAACATATCGAGTAACAAAAAAATTGTTTTTCGGGACCAATAAATCTTATTGCCGTCCTAATGATAGATCCTTGTGGAACTCTACAAAGATCAGTTTTTCTTGACCCATAAATGATTGTTCACAAATGTGTTGAACAACAAAATATCAGTTATTGTTTTTGTTATTGTTTGTTTGTATTTTGTTGGATGTCATCATGAAATTATGGAGTTGAAAATATGCATTTGAATAATTAGCACATGCTTTCCTTCAAATTCGATCTGCTTTCAGTAAACTATAGTTCAAGATACTCCTACGTAATGTTTATATTTCAGAGTGATTCATTTATTTTTAGTTGAATAACACTGGAGCTAGCACAAACTTAAATTCAAACTGTTGGTAATATTTTCAGAGGATGATTTTATTACATTTTAAAAACTTGTTATAAAAACAAATCAAAAACTCATCAGGTCGTTAAGAGAACCATTTACAAGGTTGATTATAATTCCCACTTATGATTAAATAATGTTCGATAATAAATGATAATAAATGACTTGATATACAGAATGATTACAAAAATGAAATAATGTTTCTTGAAATATAACGTTGATTTTGTTAACTCTGAGTTTCTGGAATCTTATTTTGTTTCTTATATCAGTTATTCAGAATTATAAACATATTGATTTTTCTTCAATATTTATGCGACACAGGTTTCCGATTTTTAAACACAACAAGTAATTCATCATTTTTCTTCACGCCAAGCATCCACATAAATATTTGCGCCCATGATATTTGTGCTATAAATCCCGAGTTTTCACCAACAGGAAGTCATTTTGAAAGCAATTTTTTTATGCTTATGAATTAATAAATAAACTCAGGATATTCTTGACGATGTTCAAGAACCACAAATATTATCAATGATCCATCATATATGTTATGTGATTGAACTCATGCCCTTCTGCCAAAAGATGGTTTGCAAATGTGTCATTACTTCTATGTTCTTTAATTCGTTGGGAAAACATTCTCCCCATTTGGCCAATATAAATTTTGGGCAATGACCACAAGTCAACTTATATACTCCTTATCTTTCTGACACTGAAGTTTTGCTTGAATTATTTTGCTTAAATTATTATTTGTTCTGTAAACCACGTCCAAGGATTTATTTAAAAAAAAACGAGCAATATGATTGGTGGGTTCCCCAAGATATGACAATGTCTTAAAGCGGACACAATCGTTACTTGAGATGGGTGGACCTGGTTCATGGATTGTTTTTATAGTTTTTGGAAAGAATGGAGTCAATAATATCTATCTTGAAACCGTTGCTGAGAGCTGTACCAGTAAAACAGGGTCTCAATCTGCCTACTCTCTATCAGAGACCGGCGACGAGACCTGGGAAATAACATAAACTGTGCCTTTTTTGTAGTGTAAAAATTGTTATATCATTTTTTTCAGACTCATCACTTGCAGTGCATTGGAGGCGGACCTGATTTCAAAGGAATCGATTGCAAAGTTTTCGGCGATCCCCATCCAATGACGATGGCCCTGTCTGTACTCGTAACTATTGAGATGTTGAACGCTATGAACAGGTTAGAGCTTTGTAATATTCATTTCGGATTTCTCGGTGATGTCTAGAAAGGTAATGTTTCCAACTGTTTGTATTTTACAGCTTGTCAGAAAACCAGTCGCTGATTGCTATGCCCCCATGGTCTAACTGGTGGCTCATTGGATCCATGGCTCTATCTTTCACCCTCCATTTCGTCATTCTTTATGTTGATGTACTTTCAGTAAGTATACACGTACATTATGGAACAAAATATTTTTTGTTTATTTATTTACATATCTCAATTTGAAATTACCTACTTATTGATTCAGAAAGGAATACATGTTATTTCCAGTTGAAGGTTGAAATTCACTTACTATGAAATGTGAAATAATCGCAGTTTATTAGTTCTGTAAACGACTGTTTAGTAGTATAAAACCATCGAATCTTTGCAACAGACATAATAAACAACTTTGAACTGTCAAATGATAGTTATATGTCTTCAATGGGGAATGTTCCTCAATTTGGGTTATTACAGCAAATGCCAGTTTGAACAAAATAAAGTTGAGTTTAATTCACGAGTTTTTCAAATTCACTTCGAAAAGTATTCAAATCGATGTTTCAAATGTTGGGTTTTCATTTTTAAAGGGATTTGTTTTCTAATTGGCAACAGCGCCTATATCAAGTTGAAATAATTTATACATACCTAGATATTCTACTTTAAAAAAGGAAAATTATCTTTATAAATCAACAATTGAGGCAAAATATAAATTATAGTTCAATACCACCTTCACAAGCCACATAAACAACAGTTGTTTTGTTATTTATTTATATAGAAGAAGATAGGTTAGGTGCGCACAAAATGTCATGTCACAGAATGTCTCTGAACTCAGAACATAAGTAAACATAACAGCACGCCTCTGAAATAGGTCATCTTTTTTTCTTATACAGGTAACAGATTCAGTGTCCTTTATTAGCTATAACTGATGTTGCCAAATGGTTAAATATAAACGAATCCCTTTAAATGTTGAATACATTATCTCATTCCTCTTTTTCAAGTATTTAAATAATTTTTCAAAGAAAAAGGTTGAAATGATAAGTTTAAAATGCGTTGTTTTATAGCTCTTTTATGAAAACTACTTGATTTTTGTCAGGAGGAGCATTCCCTATTGCCGAATTTGGAATCCGACTTACGTTTGTATGGCTATCTTTTTTCGATATATCACGCGCAAGCTATCAGCCAAAAGAGGGCGCTCTCTATTCAAATGAAAAGCTGTAACTGTTTTATCTTCGGTTTTCACTTTTAGACGAGAAGGATGTTTTATCGCGTCAGATATTGATGATAAATATGTAATGATTCGTCGTCCTGAATGTATACTCTAGAATTTCACCTTAGGTTTGCAAAATTTTTCATTGTGCCCATTTGAGTAGTGTGGGACACCTCAAATTTTTCCTGTAAAACTTGGTCTTGATTCAGGAACCACTATTTTTTCAACTAATTTTGGTTTTCTCCTTAGGTTGTATTCCAAGTGTGTCCGCTGACAGTCGAAGAGTGGATGACAGTGATGAAATTTTCAATTCCAGTAGTATTACTCGACGAGACGTTGAAGTTCGTCGCCAGAAAAATCGCAGACGGTGAGAACGCTATTTACACTGTGCACTGGATGGTACTAATGTGGGCTGTATTCTTTGGCTTTTTGCGTGTGTGCCCCATTTAAAAATGAAAAGCCCGTCGAACAACCTCCTCCCTAGACGAGGATTGGGCAGCCTTAGTGCGTAAACGGGTGCTAATTCGGGAAGAGATCAAAAACGTGCAGCGTGTACATTTTTGTAGTTGGACCAAGATCTGTTAGTTTTTTTTTGGCGGGTATTCGAGGACGTGCCTTTTTGACGGCGTATTTTGAAAGGATTCATAGCACGGGATTTGAATCGCGTTTATAAACGACCGGTTTGACGGGAATTGAAATTATTTTCAATGGAATGGTCTCGATTCCCGCCAGCACTGCCGATACTCTTCTAAGTTAGTGATCATATCTTTAAGATGGCAGTTCATTCATTGATTGTGACTTTTTATTCGCGTGTCATTCACGAGCCTTTTAGTAGATTTCCGGGTCGATTTTTTTGTAAATTGTTAGATGTTTAATATATTTTGTGTTGTACCGTTGTGGAGTTCTGTTCACCAGAAGTGAAATTATGACCGGTACCCGATTTTACCCACTAAAACCCAACCGGAGTAACGCTAGTGTTTATTTTAGTTTATTTAACATAATTCAGACAGTCTTTGTGTGATGAAACATCCGAACCGAGGGATTTAAATGAGACATCGTTGAATAGAAGGCAAGTCGAGTTGTGTTACGTAGGCAAAAACAAAATCACGATACACAAAATCAACATTGGTGACTTGTTTGCGCAGCAGAATGAAGTGGAATTTCGAGTCCGCCTTCGTTTGTCAGTGTTACAAGTAGAAGTTATCTAGGACATTTTGATATCAATATATTGAAGTACCCGTTGACACGTATTTCGTGGGTGTGATATTTTCTAGTAGAGTCATCGATTCGTCCATATTCACTAGATTTTAGAGAAGCCACGGTCTAGAAGCGTGCGAGTTTTAGACTCCGTAGAACTAGTACTTACTGTGTAAAAGCGGGCTCGAAATTTGACTCCATCCTGGTAACTAATTTTTTTAATATGTTCTGAACCGTCATCCTAATGGTTAAAAGCAGCCGCGGAAATTTTCAAACTCTCGAAGATTCCAATTCATATTTTTACATTTCCTAGTTTCCACATATCACCAAAAAACATTTTCACCCTCCCTGGTATAATGAATTTGCAGCTGTTGTCATTTTTCCTTTTTTTATTCTATACTGATAATCCTTGGTCAAGAGAGAAATTTGATGACCCAGTCTAGAGGAGAAACAATGACAAAGAGAGTAATAATGAAACTTTTTCTGCCTGGACCAAAAATATTGATTTTCAGTTACCAGGGAAGGTGAAAAAGTAGCATGCAACAAATTTTATCTGACTCTCTTCCGGTATATTTTCTGGTTGAGTCTTTGAGTTGATTTTGTTTTCTCAAATGTCAGAAACAGACTCGAATACTTGGTGGTTTCAACTATGCATATTTGCAAAGTGTAATAGTCAAAAGTTGCTTAAGAACAAAGGTACTTGACACTGTAAACTTTTTCAACCACATCATTACTTACAATCAATCCACTTACTGTTATATACACTTTTCTCTAAAAGTACAAGAATTTTTTGCATCTCGAGAGTGAGTTTTTAAATTCTCAGTGTAATTATCGTTTAACCTTAAAGGTTTTAACATTCCAATTATTTTTCGTATAATTTATTGCTTTTAACCACTGAGGATTCCAGTGAATCACGAAATTGATGTTTTCATTTGTATTATATTCATTAATAAAATTTCGTGATTTCCTACCGCGCTGTTCGCTAGCGCAATATTCTTGACAAAGCGGTTTTCAGGTGTGTAATTTATTCATATATAGGCAATTATATAGATTTTTCAAATGCTGTATGTATGTACAGATGTAGAATTGTTTTGCCCACTTCGGTAAACTTAGGTGAATTTTTTTAAATGAAGTTTCTGAACATTTCGTTCGAATACGAGTTGAGGATTCTTGCAGAAAATAAAGTGGTCCTGAGGAGGGATATTTGGGATGTCTCCTCAGTTTGCTGACTTCAAAGTTGCATAATCAAATAAGGCAGGGTGTCCTGATGAACACCATGCCTTAATCATAGATGCACGCACCAACCAAGTTGATGGCTTTAAAAGTTGAATTAGTCTATTTAATCTTCTGAAGATGCCAAGTTGCTTGCTGGAAAATGCGTCGAAAAAATGTCGCAGTTCTGGTGTTTGGGAGCAGTCCCTGTTCTAGTTACATCTTTTAATATAGGAAATGAACTGAAATATATTTATAATTGTTATTTATTATAGCTTCAATATAGCTACAAAACAACTATACCTCATCTACATATTTGTCCTCGTCTTTTTCTTCATCTTCCGATTCCTCAGCATTCAGTTTCTCAGCTTTCAAATGTCTCTTGGCCTTTCTGGAATTCTTCAATCACAGTTTTATGCTCTGATGGAATGAAATTTTATCTGACTAATCATAACTCAACTATCAGGCTTTGTATAAAATGTAACCAGAGAAATACTTACACATAATATAGAATTTTTCTACCTATCATGAAATTTTCTACAGAATGCTCAGTGATCTCTCTTTGTAGCGGCTAAAATTAAAAAAAAATCGGTTTCAAATTCCATAATGTTCCAAATTCCAAAATGTATTTTTTTCAATTCACCATCTATAATTTGAATGCCTTTCATTTGAAAAATGCTGATTTCAATGAAAAAAAAATCAATGATAATTTTATGATAAATAAAAAAGTAATAACAGATTTTTGAAACAGTTATTTTCCTAGTTTTTTGGTCGTGATCTGCGTGATTTTGAGATTGACGTTTCTTCTACAAATGCGGTAGGCACTGTCAACGTTGATTAGGTATTGAACCCAGTGCTCTTGTTGATAAAGTATACCGCAGTTTTTCACGAAATGTTAGTCATAAAAACCAGCAGACTGACCAGCTAATACAGTACAAAATTCTGACGACTGCGATTTTATCGGTAGCAAAAATCAATAGTTTATTGTTCAATTCGAAATAATCAATAACTTTTGACATGTTTATCCCAGGAAAATTATTTTCTGATATAACTAACTGAATTGTAACTTCAACTGGGATTTGTCTCTTCCCATGCCATAAAGAACTGGCAAATTGAGTTTGTCACATTGCTTGGATTCCTTCACAAGAGAGGAAATTCTGGATGGAGATGAAAAACCAATGTATTCGAGGTGCAAGCAAAATGTACAAAGTCCTTATCAATCTATAAGTTTCCCCGTATTTTAGTAATTCATTTGAAAATATTCTCTCCAACGGAAAGATTCAGAGGAAAATTCAATGTTTCCATTGACTTTCCTTCAGATGACTTAGATATAAGCCATTATGCAGCAGACAATGTGGCTCCTTGTCGTTATAATCTATATGCACTTTCAAACCACAGTGGGACTACTTACAACGGGTATTACTCAGCATATTGCAGACACCCATATAGTGACACGTTGCATGAATACAACGATTCACACGTGTTCCCAATTTCGCCAAAATCACTTGTGAGCCATGAGGCATATGTCCTCCTTTATGAACAGGAGGGAACGAAGCAGCACCTTTGATGTGACTTTCTTCTTTCCATTTTTTTTTAATCTTAGTTCTTTGAAGTGATTTGTATTTCATGATAGTTCCAAATTTCATTATTTATTGTAATACTTCTACAGTAACCCCAAGTACAAAAGCAACTAATAGTATACATACAATGGACCACTTAAATTTTTGCAAGTATACCATTTGAGATGTTTTTCGTACATATTCTCAAAACCTGAGTAATTTTGCTGAGAACTCATTTTTTTATTACGATTGAATTCAAAAACTACAATTTGTATATAAATGTATTGGGCAGTGTTGAATTAAAAAAAGGTAATAATAAAGATTTGATTTTTTCTTTGTGTTGTGGCTTTTTGCTCTAAGGACTCATGCAGTCCTGGCATATTCGAAAACATTGCTAAACAACATAAAACACAATATTCCATTACATCATATACCTTGAACAGTGTCACTGTTTGTCGAGTTTGAAAGCCGTGGATTTTTGGAATTCTTTCCGGACGTTTCGCTGGAGTGGCTACCTTCTTCAGAGGTTCAACCATCATGGCTTGCTGTCCGATGTCATCGGACAGCAAGCCATGATGGTTAAACCTCCGAAGAAACTGGCCACTCGTGCCAGTGAAATGTCAGGAAGAAATTCCAAAATTCCACGGCTTTCAAACTCGAAAAACAGTGACACTGAAAACCTCAGCCACGAAACTCTAAACCATTTTGTCATACCTTGAACAGTCGCCATTGTGATTTTTTTTATATTTTACTATGCCAACACTTAGGGTTTGCAGGGTCTTTCTACCGGTGCAGATGTCTATTCATTATCACAGGGTTAAAATGAAAATTCACAGGGTTGAAATGAAAATTATGTTGTTGTTTTTTGATGCAGTAAGATTCCATCAAAAACAAATCGATTTTTTCTGGATTTATTACTACCCTCATGATTTCTCTAGAAATCTAGTGCTGGGCCTGAAGGAGTAACTAATATTGGATCCCAGCGAAATGGTGTACCTGTTTATTATCCACGAGCTAGTTTGAAAGTGGCTAGAAGACAATTATCCAAACCAGTGGATAGGAAAACGTGGTCCCTTAGAATGACCCGCTGTATTACCTGATATGACACTCTTAGATCAATGTGGCGATTGGTGAATTCTAAAGTTTATGTTACACAACCAAAGTCTATTGCAAAGCTCATGATTAGAACTATTAAAACAGAAGTGGAATAATTGTCTCAAATCTTTCCCTTTTTGAAAAACATGAATTCTTGGGCGATATCAATAATTACTTGTATGATGGAAATGCTTGAATGGTAAAAAGTTATGTTGAAAATAATGGTTGCTGAAAGTTTTTGTAATTTCTTTGATACACTTGTTCTCACAGCCAACTCGAATCATTGAAGTGTGAAATTTTGCACTGACAAGAAATCAAGGAAAAAAGTGCTCTCTTCAGTTATTCTGAAAGTGAGGTTAGAATTCGATACTCAACAGCTTTTTCAATAATTTTGATCTGTTGAAACTGAAATGAGATGATTGTTTCATATCTTTTTTACTTTTGAAAAATAATACTTTTGCAATGTCAACAATCACTTGCATGATGGAAAAGCTAGAATAGTAAAAAGTTAGTTTGAAAACAAAGATTGCTGAAAATTTGCGACATTTCTTTGATAAACTTACTTTCACAGCCAACTCGAATCTTCTGAATTTAAAATTTCGGACAATCCAGTCGTTATTCCGAAAGTGAGGTTAGAATTCGATACTCAACAACTTTTTCAATAAATTTCTTGTATCTGTATTTGAGATGTTGGATCTCCTGCAATAAATTCCACTGAAGAATAATTAGAGGAAATATGAAAAAAGTAGAGATTGAAACTGACACCTAAATTTGTCATTTGAAAAGTAATTCATACTTTCGGGTCTTACACAGTATCACTTCCACACCATGTACATTTTCTATTTCTCTACTCATTCCAAAGCTGTCAACTAACATTTTGTGTTGTGTGGTCGTGATCTAACACAAAAAGATTCCTCTACAGGGAGACGTCAAGAAGTAAGTAACTTATTATGACTGATGAATCATTCCATTTTGTATTATACACTTTCTAATGTTTTGTTTTTATTTTTCGCAGTACCCAAAGTCATATGCCGAATGTAAATAGCTCGTCACGAAGACATATCGAGCCATTTGGAGTGCCCCCTTCCCAAAAATGTGGATTTTCCATTTTCGTCCGAATCGAATAACTTTCTATTTCCTTCACTAACCTGAATGTTGCAATAACAGGCATGCGAGTTGATTTCAGTTTCCGTAATTTTTTCGTTAACGCTTGTCATTGTTCTGTTTCAGTTGGTGACGTAGTTGTTGATAGATGGTAACTGCAAGCGTCAGACTTCCTGCTTTTTTTTTAATTACCTGTTAGGATAATCGTTGAAAAGACTCTGGCTAGCTTACGTCTACTCTTTTTCTACCTAACACGGAAAGCGTAGTTTTCCGATCTTTTTCACGCTATTAGAGTCGCATATTATTTTTTTATGACTTACCTAGCTGTAGCTGTTCACTCCGATGGCTTTATTTTAAGTTGCAAGTGTTGTTTTCTTTGTTAAATTCACTATTGTCTTCCTGTAGACCTGTGATTTGGTTTAAAGGCGCATTAGATGACTAGTGATAGAGAGTCTTAGTGGAAGTTTCGGCAGATGTCGCTGTACCAGTCGAGATTTGCAAGAAATAACTCGACCAGCGAAATTTCCCAGTCGTTTCGAAAAACATTCATAATAGTTACTTGGGATTTACGAAATATTCTACTAACTTTGACATCAGCTGCTTATCTACAATTAATTGACAAAAAGCCTATCAGCGCCATCTATTTAAAAAAAAAATGTTTTCGGACTCTTCCTCTTCTCTTTGACAGCCTTCAAAAAATGAAGATTAGTTAAGGTCCGACCATGGATCTATCTAAGAAATTTCGTTGGTCGCAGCTGTATTTCAATTGAAAAATCTAATTGACACTCGGATTTTACCTTGAAAAAGTAAATAATCTGTCCAGTAAAGCACCGCTGTGATAAGCAAATAACGAAATCAGGATCCGACTGGCCACGAATCTGCCGAACCCAGACTTGGAATTGATGAAATGTACATAAACATATATTTAGGATAATTAAAAGAATTGTTATCACTTTGTGCCCGATGCGGTACGAAGCTTTGAACGTTATCTGGAGACCAGTGCTAACCGCAGTCAAGAGAGGGGGATTTAGCCCCCTCCATCCCCCCTGAGTGTTGTGTTTATCGCCAAGTTAACATTTGGTTAGTGTACTTCCTACAATGCGTTTAAGTGGTCCCATCATTTCATTCATTTAGAGGTTAGGGCTGGTCTCAATAATTGGAGAAAAGGACTGCGGTTTTTTAAGCAGTCCTCGTTACACATTGTATAGTTCTACATTGTAATTTACATCAGTTTTGTAAACAGGATATTTGTGTAAATAAAGTGATGGCTTTCTGGCTGTCTTAAGTTCTATATTATTTTTTTTCCTCAATGTTTGTGTACCTACCTCTTGAGAGCTGTCCCACAGCTGTCACACAGATAAAACGTTGCGGTATGTTTTCCACATTCTTGGCAGAGTTAAATTTTCAAATAATTTTTTGCATCGAAAACTATATCTGATCTGTTTTCAGCTAGAACAGAAATTCGACGACACAAAATTGAAAAATATTAGGGAGATTTTATTTTCTTTTATAACAGGCCATTAGCTCAGAATTTAAAGTGAATTACATACTTTTGTTCAAAAGATTTATTCCCAAGGGCAATTTATAGTATTGCTTAGTTCAGATTCTAACTGTAAGAAGTCAATATCACATACTTTCAATCCTGAAGTCGCGTGTGTTGGGAAGGAAAATAAATTTGATAACAGATAGCAAGCACATCTGTTCTGTAGCATGACTTATGCACCACTTTCACTTTAATTTTACTGATGAATTGGGAATATTCATAATCTTTCTTGATGTAAGTTAAGTGATTCTTTTGATACTGTTACAGCCAAAATGTCTAAGTATCTTTGTATTTGATATCATTCCAAAATTCACACGACAGAAGAGTTATGTGAAGATGATCCTGACGGAAAAAATGAGAAAGAACTTTTATCCAATCATGTATTTTTTATGAATCCATCTCAACCCTTCGTTGTGAACTGTCAGAATTGGTGAAACTGGTTCTGAGAAAATCATCTCTGGATGAGATAGTTGCATATTCAGCAATCAGCAACAAATATTCGGACCAGTATTCTGGGTATAGACTAATTTTTTTGTGGAGAACCTTACGAAGACATCTGTTCGAAATTTTTATAAACAGTTTATTTCTATGCTGACAAATGTACTTCCTAATCTTTATGGTTTCAATAGGATGGATCCTCTTTGTTTCTAAGATTTCCTATACGAGAATAATCAAGTAAATTGAGAAGACATGGATGAAGACTTGACTGAACATTCATGGAAATAGATGGTGGTTTCTCTTGTGGATTTAATACAGTGGTTAATAGTGGTCAGAGAAACTTCATTTATGATAATGTTCTGTGGTGAAATTGATGAAATTCTGTCAGCTGATCCATGTCAAAACACACTAATTGACATGTAAATGAAACATTTACTCATGCATATCTGTAAATACCATGTTTGGTATCTTCAGAGCCGGTCTATTCGTCAATCACTGGTTCAGGAGACATAGAACAAAATTGGTTCCGAAGATATATTATAATGAGAACACATCATCTTTTTTTGCTTCTTTCACAAATCACCGATCTTTCACACACTACATTTTGGCATGGAACTATGTTATAAAGAAACAGAAAACGAATCCCCATTAGGTGATCGATTGCTTTGCATTAAACATTCACGGGGGCCCTTGTTTGTCGTGGAAAAATAAGGTTTGAGTTTTTCTTTTAAGGAATGTCTTTGTAAGGAAAGATGTCAATGATTGTGAGAATAATAGTAACGATTTATTTTCCCAAGAAAATGGGGGAAAAACATTTAAAAACTAACTATAATATAAATGAGCACAAAAAATATATAAATCAGAACTGACAACCTAAAAGAAAAATATGTATGATTGAATTTGATTATCAACAAAGTCATAAATGCACTCATCAGAGAATATATCTATGCAATCACTGTTTTTCAAAGTATATTTGGAATTTTTTTCAAAGTTTTCAGTAGCACATTGTAAAATTTGATACCTTTTGAGTAAATCGAATTTTGTCCAATATTTGTTTTTATTTCCATTAATTTAACATTGCCTGAATATCTTGACAAATAATTGTGTTTGAAAGTCAGATTTGAATGTTTCAGCTTATTTTTGCCAAATGAATGAAGGAACCTAATTGGAATACATGAATAACTGACAAAAATTTGATAGTGTTTTTGGTATTATACAAGTTGACTGTAGGCTCCTTTTGTAGTTCAATTTGAGTATGCACCTCATAATTTTATAGTATTGAAGCTATACAGATATTTGATCAAGATATTTTGAAATATGAATTTTAATTTCTTGTACACTATTTCCCTTGTTAATTAAATTGGTAAACATTTGTAATCAACCAAATAAATTTACTGTAGCCAAATAATTGAAATATATGAGAAACGAAATAGTTCCAAATATTGATCCTTGCGATACCCCACATAATATTTTTTTTCAACTATATAGACATATTATTGCTTTCTATTCAACAAATAGTTTTGAAACCAATTATAAACATATATCACAGATATCTAAAAAATGGTCGTGCTTGATATATGAATATTTTTATTTTTTCATGCCTTTGAATTTGGACACAATTTTTTGTAGTTTTGTATTTTCATTTTCTAGTTGTCTTATTTTCTCATTGTTTTCTTCTATTTGCCTAGATATGTCCTCTAAAGGATTCCCCTTTATTTGAAATTTAGGTGTCGGAATGGTTGAGTCTTCTACTTCATTAATACAGCTTCGTATGAGTTTCTGTTTCAGATTTTCCTGAAATTTCAATAAAATTCAAGAAATTGAATACAACAGATACTTGATGGCATCCATATTGACATTGACTGATACAATTTACACGCAGTATATGATCCGTCTTTACCACTTTTTGGAATTCAATTTTAATTCATTATTATTATTAACTTTTTCTTGATTTGGTGTTTTCTGAAAGTAATTTATTTTGTGTTCATTTTTAATATTCAGACCGCGGTATTATTGTGTTTGCATCTATTTGTGACTAGAAGAAAGAACGCTGAAATTCTCAAAGTAAGCACAGGTTTAATTTGAAATATTCGCTTTCTCTATTTACCAAAATTACGCAAAAGAACAACATTCAAATTCATGTCACAGAAAATACAGTTCACGTACATTGATACTCAACAATATACAACAATTGAAGAACAGAAAAAAAAATATTATACGACTTACCTTTTGTTGGTCGATCTTTTCAACCATCGAATATGATTCTTTGGTTATATTTGAAATGTCACTGGCCATATTCTGTATTTTAGTTTCAGTTTCGGAGTGCCATTTAGAAATATTGTTCAATTTCTCATTCAAAATGTCTACTGTGGCTTGAAATTGCTTGAATCCATTTTCAACATAACACTGTCCTCTTTCAAGTACCGACATTTTCCTTTGCAAAAGATTGCATTGTGTTTCCAGTTTCTTCTCAAAGTTCCACATGCTTCTGAAGGCACTGTCCATGGTTTCTCGTTCTGATATCATGTTTTGTATTTTTGTTTCATGTACCCTCAATGAATCATTCAAATTGGTCATAATATACTCGAACTCTCTTATTTTTTGATCGTTCTTAGATTTTTCAGTAAGCAACTTTTCTTCCCGATTCCGTAACAGGGTAATTTTTAATAAATCTGTAAATGATAAACAGTCAGTTCAATGAGCAGAACATGTTTCAGGTGAAAACAATAAATAAGGACCTTCCTCGCCATTTTGTAGGTATTGCAAATCTTTTGGAGACTTCTGAGGGACGCTAAAAGAGAAGCAGATGCATGAAGGAACTGTAATCAGTTGTTTATTTATATAGTACAGCTTGACAAATAATGAAAATGAGCTACTCTGTCAACTAACTTCACTTTTGAAATTAGAGTTTCGCATCGAGATACCTAATAGTTCATCTTTTCACAGTAAATCCCATATTATTAGGCTGTTCCAAAAACTTTGTCTCAATGTCGTGTTTTTGTACTGTTTTTTCTTCATGCGATTTGCCTTGTTTAAAAACAAATTAATTTCAACTCACTATACTATTCACTATAGTTATTTTAGTGGTGGTTAATTGTTCAATATATTATTACAGAAATAGATGTCATGTCTGTGAACTATAGCAACTTTGAATTTAAAAAGGCAGTGGATAATCTGCTGAAATTAAGCCCTATTAGTTTCAGCAAATCTTTATACAGCTGTTGTATTATATTTTTCATATTTCATAACTGTTTTATAATTTTTTGTATTTGTTCTTTTCGTGTCATATTTTCTTTTCAATAATATGCATACTTTTAGACAATAACATATATTTTGATTTAATTTCATCAAATTATAGTTACTTATTATATGCACAAAAATTACCTCATTTTTGGTAAATAATAAATTGTTTATCTTAATTCAAAGACTATATTTTTAATGCATATTTCGATTAATTCAAACACTATTCACCTTTTTCGCGCTTTTCTTTATAAATTTTGACTTCCTGCTCCAACATTGTAATTTTGGCTATCTTTTCGTCATTTGCCTTTTTCATTTTATTATATGACGAAAGAAGTTCCGTGTTCTCTTGTTCTTTGTCTAGGAGTTTCTGGAAAATGCTTCTCAAACTGTTCTCTATTGCAGTAGTAGTTTGTAACATACATCCGAATTGGGTTATATCGAATAATTTCGGACGGATTTTTCTGAAACCAGTAGATGAAAATAATGGTTATAATCTCTAGTTGTTCAAGTAAAAACTTTGCAGAACTGATGGGTCGTTATTATGTTAACAGAAATAAACATTCATTTTTTTTTTTCAAATACAAACAAGCAGTATAATGACTATAATAAGTATAAAGTAAATGAAACGAAAAATTCAATTCATACAAAATGAAACAAATATAAAATGGTAAAACCGAATCACATGAAATGAGTCAAACAATGAATTAATTATAGATCTACAAAGTTCAAGTCTGAATTCACTCATACTGTGGAAAATTTTTCTACGTTATCTAGTTTATCAGATGTTTTACACAGTGTGTTAAAGGGAAGTAAAAATAGTGAAACGAATTTGGTACATTGAGATGAAATGTTATGAATATTACTGAAATTTAATTCCAACACCAAACCATTGTTTTTAACACCTCGACACCTGTTTCGATCACCAAGTGATCATCTTCAAGAGGAAGATCAAACTGTTTGATGTTCCTCTTGAAGATGATCACGTGGTGATCGAAACACGTGTCGATGTGTTAAAATAACGGTTTGGTGTTGGGAAAAAACTCCAGTAATATTTATTAATAGACCAAAGGTTCTAAATAGTGCATTACAAGTATGAAATGTTATGTTTGATCTGGAAACCGTAAAGGTAATAAATGTAATTTGTTTTGTAAAAAGATCTAACATAATAACTTGTTGGGGTGAACCAAAAAGTTGCCGTGTCCACACAAATATGAAGTTTTCCTTTACAATTTTTCATATTTTTCAGATTGATGAATGTAAAAATACGCAACAAGTCGATGAAAAACCTTCATTGCTTACCTTTTGAACAACATATTATCAGTAGACACACCGTCAAAAATTGTCAGAAGATTCTTCATACACATCATAGCTGAAGCACAGCTATCGCACTTATTCAATGAAATTATATCAGTCTGGCAATCAACATCGATTTTCTTTTTGAGATTAGTTTCTGTAACACTTGTAATTGTTGTGGTGTGGTCCTTTTCAGCCTGTAATAAGTTGAGCGATTCAGAAAATGATGAGTAAAAGAATGTTTTTTCTTGCAATAACTTCTGACAATGGTTTTCTCACCATTTTAGTCAGCAGTGTACTAAATACACTCCACAAACTCTTGAAGCAACAACCAAGTGTAATTTGCTGTGGTCTACGAAGGAAAGGGTTTTTCTTTAAAACTCTATCATTTACATACTCCTCCAATCTGTTTAGAATCAATCTTAAACCTACATATAATCTGAAATTGTGCGAGTTTATGAAATAATATTGATAGTAATTTCTCTTCATATACTTTACCTATCTATTGCTAGTTCCAGAAACAGCTTCACATTATTGTCTTGAAATATTCTGTTAGCCTTTATGAAATCTGTGACGAAACTATAGTTTTTCGTTGGAAAGAGCCATGAATGAATTTCATCTCCTCCACCAATATTTTCAATAGTTTCGTTCAAACTGCAAATATCTTGTTTTAGTGACAATATCAATACTTCATTGACATGTTCCATTTACATGACATTTGGATGGCATACTGTGACATTTTCAAATAGCTGTCGGTGGAATTACGTTCGATTATTTCCTTCAACCAATGAAATGAAGGATATTGAGGGATAGGCCTTCAACATAGTCCGGCCGTACAAGGACCACATATTTGCAGTTGAGGCAACCACAACATTGTGGCCACGTTGACTGCACTTCGGTTGACCCAACCACATTTTTGTGGCCGACTTGCGGTCATATAAACTGCACTTGCAGTTGAGGCAACTGACATCAAAAATTGAATGCTGTGAGACCAATATGTGAAAAAGTACAAGACGGTGTACGCGGTTGGGTACGACTGCAAGTTTGTGGTTAGTGTACGGCGGATGCCGCGATGACATCTCGGCGGAGATCAGCAGCAAGTTGTCTGCAGAAGCCCGTTTTGTCTTTTGTGAACGCCCGTGTACGCGTAGTTCAGTATTTCTTATGGGCGGCTTGAGTTCGCTGGAACGCGACTGCAATTGTGTGGTCGATCCGACCACAAAATGTGGCTCGTGTACGGGCGTTCTTAGTCCGGCCGTACACGGACCACATATTTGCAGTTGAGGCAGCCATAACATTGTGGCCACGTTGACTGCACTTCGCGGTTGACCCAACCCCATTTTTGTGGTCAACTTGCGGTCATATGAACCGCACTTGCAGGTAAACGACATTAACAATGGAATGTTGTGAGACCAATATGTACGCGGTTGGGTACGACTGCATGTTTGTGGTTAGTGTACGGCGGATGCTGCGATGACATCTCGGCGGAGATGATAGATCAGCATCTGAGATGGGTCGCGCACTCTGATTACGTTGTGAAAAGACTCAGAATGCTAATTGAAAGCTTCTATCAATTACGAGATATCTTGGATAAAAAAAATATTTTATATTATATAAATCTCTAGCGGAATCTGTCCTGAGATATTGCATAAATGCTTGAGGTGGAATGTATAATAAAACAATGAAAGGACTTCAAACAACACAGGACAGAACACTTACAGAACATATACTTTCAAGTGTTCAAGTGACTTGGCAGATTTGATTCCATCAAGAGCAGTACATATCAGGAATACGCGACGGACTGTGGCTGTTAATCCCCAGCGATTCAAATTCAACGTGAATCGCCACTTTCACAAAGGCACCGCTCTCAGAGCGCCTTGAGGATATTTCTGTAGTGCTCGTGTTTTGTCCTAAAATAACATTTATTGTAGTAAATAGAGTTTGTGTGAGTTTTGTGCACATTTTTATGGATTTTATTATCAAGAAAAATCTTGTACCTTCTGCAGTAGCTTTTCATTGAAAATAGGGACTAAAAAATTGACTTGAGATGATGAGCTGTTTCGATACAAGAATAATATATATAGTGAGAAAGCGACTGTATCGAGGAAGTGGCAAATGATAACGAAGCATAAACTATTTTAATATGTAACAAAAATTTATCTTTCTCGATATCGTTTTTTCTATAAGAATTTGTATCAAATACTGTCATATCAGCACTGATATGTTTTTTTTTTAAAAAGGAAGTATTGGTTTGTGTGTATTTTACGAAGGTTGGAATAACTACCACTATCAGATTTACTGTTTTTGCGGTTTGAATGTCATCTTTCACATGGAAAGGGCATAATCCTACCTAGAAATGATGAACTTTCAAATAGATGAGAGAATTGATTTCGCTAGAGGAGTCTTGAAAAACTTCAATTTCTTGGGAAAGAGAGGTTTTGGCTTTCTACACGAGAAAATAAAGATGGAAATCTTCGAAAGAAAGCAATTAATTAATTTTTTCCCCTTTACTTTGCTAGAGTTGGCACAATAAATCTGGAAAAATGTTATGGTGTTTTTTGTTGTGAACAACAATTCTTTCAATCCAGAGGTGAATTATAATAAATCAGTAGTGAAAAACATTTTATTGTACAAGATTTTGTTTCTCAGCTGTAAAATGAAAAAACGCATCACCGATGCGTCAATCGACGGCCTTCAACCCGAAAAATGATGTCACTATAATTCTTTTTTCTGTGCCGATATTTGTCTCGAATAGAAACGCTCAAATTTTCTGATTCCATGCTGATACTTGAAACAAAAAATGATCTACCGGTGGTCTCAAACAACAATTTGATCATCAGTTCCAGATACTTTGTTCACCTCGAAATTTCTTAATTAGTTGATAATATTATCACTACGGTCTTTCCTTTAATAATACCTTTCACAAAGGAATGTTCAACTTCTGTTTATCGTTTCAAGAAAAAATGACTCAAGTTACTACGCGAGAAGAATTAGCCGCATAAGTAAACAAAAATATCCTATATCTTGGTTGTGATCACACATAGATATCTTAATGTTTATAATACGTTTCACACAAACCGGAAAAATTATTTATTCATCTTGAATCACGTTGGTATCGACTGCAATCCTTTGTTCTTCGATGTATAAGAATACCTATCAGTGAAGTTGTGGTCATATTTACTTCTTTTACTACTTCATTTATAACAAATTTCAGCTATTTTACATATCAAAAGCACACGAATCGAACGCAAATGCTCAAATCCCATACTTCTTTGTTTCCTCCGTTTTGTCTTTGGGATTGTCCAATATCTTCTGAAGTGTAAAAGCAGTTTCCAAAGAAAATCTTATGTTCTAAGTGAACATTTCTTCAATGATCATACAATGATATTGAATCATTCTATAAAACAGTTTTCTGTTTATTCTGGATCTTTTCTATACAGGGTGTACTTTGAAATATTCAAGAGACGTATTTCCGAGACAATTTCAAGAAAATAAAATTATATAAATTTGTGTCCGGAAATGCTTCGTTTCGGAGATACAGGGTGTTGAAATTGAATTTTTTGGTCGTTTTTTTAAAAGAACTTTTGCAAAAAATGGTCCCCGGGGTTCTTTGTCGTGGGAAATCATAACTTCGTATTAATTTTCATGTAACATCCAGAAGGCGCTGCGTAGCTGTCATTATGGATTTCAAATTCCCCTTACTTTTTTTACAGTAAACTTTTGGTACTTTTCATGAAAAAACCTTTTTCCCACACCTTTTACGAGTAAAAACGGTACACTTCCTCAACAAGGCTGGAGGTGATCGTTTTCAAGATATTAACAATTTTCTATATTGATGCATATTACTTAGGTCCTAGGGCGCTAAGTGAAGTTGCTGAGAACATTACAAAAACTAAGGATGTGGTGGATTTCATCAAAAGGAACAACGTTCTTCTATGAAATGTTTATCAAAAAAATCATACGTTTTCGAGATACAAATTGTTGAAATTTAATTTTTTAGTTTTTCATCGACTTTTCTTGGGTATTCGTTACCTTCCACAGTCTGAAAAATATAAAAATTATAATAGAGAACTTTATACAAGTGTAGAAGGCAAACTTTTTTCTTTACCCCGATAAGTTACTGCGTAAAAAAGTATTTTTCATAAAGAAAAATCTTCTATTTGAAGGGTCCACTGCAAAAATGATGAATGTCTAAAATTATTCCCATTTTAAGTAAGTACGTCATTCGGTCACTTGAAATATGCAGTTAGTAATCTCGTTTTAGAACGCTCAGCGTCGCTGGTGTCCATCGCGTAGCAACGCCCGCCATCTTGTCAAATTGTTTTGTCAGTTTCGATACGTCTGTCGTGCTAGGTTATGTTATACGTATTCAAGTGATTTATTTCTTCAAATTATGGCCGAAAGAAACGAAACGACTACAAAATTCATTAGTACTTAACAATTTTGCCTGTCAAAAAAATTGTTAAGAAATAATACAATACTTATCTTTACGTTTCGGAGGCCAAAATCAGCCTGAGTCTTCAGAAATGGACAAAAACATTCTAATATATTGGCTGTTATTCATTTTTGATTATTTCTTTACTTTTTCGACAGATGTCAAAGGAGTTTTGAAATATGAAATTATGTCAATGTTTTTGATTGACAACTGAAACATTCGATGTAATACAAGGTGCTCTCCGATATCAGTCTGTTGCCATTTCGCCACTATCCACATTTTTCTTCAAGATGGGTAGCCAATTACGGTCTATTTCTAAGGAGCTATTCGAAATACAATTCTCTCCAGATATGAGAATATACGCTGATTCTTTTAGCTTACGTCTCTTAGAGTGAGGCTCATTGGTAAATCATTTTTGTCCTATTTCATTCTACTCGATGTTCACCGTCTGATTTTAAAATGTGTTCTGACAATTTAGATCCTGTCAATTGTCTATTTTTTATGTAATCTCGATGCTCATTCTCACGCAATTTCAATGGTCTCGAGGTTTCACCAATGTAACACCACAAGAACAAGGTATCTCATAAATAGAATTTTTTGTTTTTTCTTCAGCGTTGTTGGGTTTTGTATGTTTTGTATGAGTATAGATCTCAGTGTATTTTTTGTTTTGAAAGCAGTTATAACATCAGACCTATTTCCAATTCGTCTTATTTTTTCAGAAAGTCTTGGAATGTAAGGTATAACGTTAGTTGTGAAAGGTGCCGGTGGATGTTGAGTCAGTAATTGTTGACTTGGATGTTGTTGAATTTGTGAAGCTGATTGTATGTTCGTTTGGTTTTTAATTGACTCTTTATTTTCAATTGCATTTATCTTTGAATTTAAGAACAACTATGGATAAGTGTTATCTTTCAAAAAAGATTTAATTAATGATATTTCTTTATTGAGATTTTCAGTTGAATTGCATATCGTTTTAGCTCTTTTGTAAAGGCAATTTATTATACCTTTTTTAACACTCGCATGATGATTCGATGTATAGTGAATATATCTATTTGTATGTGTTTTCTTCCGACAAACAGTTGTAGCAAATTGATCTGATGATTTCTCCAACACTCCATTATAATTTTTATATTTTTCAGATTGTGGAAGGTAACAAATACCCGAAAAAGTTCGATAAAAAACTGATTTTCCCCCACAAAAAAATGACTTTCGTTGAATATTAATTTTTTAGTTATTTTTATCTCCGAAATGAAGCATTTACGGACACAAGTCTATATAGACTTTTTTTTTTGAAAGTTTCTCAGAAATAGGTCACTTGAATATTTTAAGGTACTTATGTTACACCCTGTAGACTTACTATGATTTCTTCACGGGATTTTTCTGTAAATTCAAGATACAGAAGACGCAAAACTTCTCTATTCATTTTATGTACGGTTTCTTTTTAAAAGGGGAGTTTTACGTGGGTGTTTATCTGCACAAAATTGCATCAAACAATTGCGATAAAAATCGTAATGACCTCCCACAAAGACGTGATGATCACAGCGTGAATGTTGAGATGAAAACAGATTCAATAAGCCCCAGTATTCGACATCACTTTTCGAAAACAGAACTGAAGAAATAGTTTAGAAACAACCACTTTTATATGCACATTGAATTTTATGATAATCACTTTTACCATTCAGTTTGTACTCACTTATTAGTCACAGTAACATAGCATTTACATAGAACACTACCATCCTCAATTGAGGACTTCGAAGTTTCGAAATGAAACACTTGTCTTACTACCTCATCAGCTTCGTTATGGATAACGTGACAAGATAAAGTACTCAATTCATTCATAACATTGCAACTTTATGATTACTGGAGTTTTTTTCCAACACTTCGACACGTGTTTCGATCACCAAGTGATCATCTTCAAGAAGAAGATCAAACTCCCCAGTTTAATCTCTAGTAATATTCATTATTACTACACCAAAGGTTACAAACAGTGCATCACAATTACAACTTTATGTCGTGCATTCATTTGATTAAGTCTCAATCATAGGAATCTTGTTTGAATTGGGTAAAAATATATCCCTCTCAATTCAATCATTTTGTTTTGAAGAATGGTATTGTCCATACCGAACCGGATATAATAATATTATAGAACCAGAAAACTGTACACACCTCAGCAACTTTTGATGCTTTATAAAGCTCGGATCAGACCTTTCATGGAGTATAGTTCTCATTTATGGAGCTCCTCCTCTAAGCATACTCTGAAGCTGCTGGATTTCATCCAGAAAAGAGCCATTCGCCTGATTGAAGACGCGAACAGCACTTGCACTCTAGATAGATAGATAGATAGCACTTTATTTCCAATAGGTGTACACCCAATTACAGGAAATGTTAGAAAATATACTAAAAAAATAACATTCAATTCAATTAAATTCACATATTACATATTAAATTGGCAAATTATAAATGATATTAATAATATAAATGAAATATAATTAGATTCAATTGACATATCATAAATGAATTAGCCTTCACAAGGTTGACATAAAACAAATGAAAGGTATATATAAAAAAATATATAAATGAAAGGTTCTATGTAAGATACATTCCCTGATAAAGTTCAAAGAGTTTCCATTAATGTCACACATGTTACATACTAAATTAAAATTATAACACATTAAATTTACTGGTGCTTTGAGATTCACATTTGTTCTACTACTCTGACAATGATATGTTTTCTCGTATCTTGAGTTGAGGCGTGGTACATAAAAATTTACCAAAGTACAGGAGTACAGGAGATGTTATTATTTATTAAATTATATAGAAATGTCACCGTAATGAGAAGTTTACGTGTATTCAGTGATATAATATTAAATTGGGTCAAAATGGTGGAATAGTCAATTCCCCTTTGGGGGTAAATACCTGTAGTGCGAAAGAATTTCAAGATCGGTCTATATGTGAAACAAAAGTGAATTTCTGATCAAAATTAATGCCAAGGTCTTTCATTTCATTAACTCGACTTATGGTATTGTTATCAATTTCGTAAGTGAATTGTATTAGACTTTCCTTTCTGGAAAAAGACAATACATGACATTTAGCAGTGTTAAGATGCAAACGTTTATTGAAACACCAATCATATATCAGATCTAATTCATACTGTAAGTCTAATCAGTCTCCATAATTTTTTATCACCTAGAATATTTTAAGGTCATCAGCGTAGAGCAGTTTTGAATTGTTTATTATTTTACTCAAATCATTAATGACAATCAAGAACAAAAGAGGTCCTAAATTCGAGCCTTGGGGCACTCCGGAACTGGGAGTATATAAAGCAGATTTGAAGTAGTCTGGAACATCGAAGTATCTATTCTATAGATACTTTCACGGGAGGTTTCAAGTGACTTCAAATCCAATGTGAACCGCTACTTTCGCACAGGCACCGCTTTTAGAGCGCCTTTAAGATTTTCCTGTAGTGCTCGTGTTTTGTCCTTGAAAAATACATCTCTTTCAGATTCTTTTTACGCTGTTCTTATTGATATGAAACCCAAACTAATCTTCATTGTCGTCATACACAACTTATGAATTTCTGCGGGTAGGAGAAACTTCTCGTATGTATAATTCGATAAATGTGAATAATTCTTTATTATCAAGTTAGCTACAAACCGCGAAACAATGATATTACACCAGAGCATCGTCAATACAATTTGTTCCTGTTCAGTGAACTGTTTTCTAACGTTAAATGTGTTCTTATACATATGCTTGCACGTGTCAAACTCTCTGGAATTTCGATACCACAAGAACGATGAAATGGAAGAAGTGTTGAGGAACCTCTCTGCTAACTCTGGAAAGGTCAGGACTCGAGTTACAAGTATTGGAAACTCCTCAGACACAAGTGAGTAGTTATTGGTTGAAAGCCGGTTTATGGAAACTTGAAAAAAAGGTGAATTTTGTTTTTACCAAAAATTATTTATTCATCAATTTACATTTTGATCCCTTCAAAGTAGTCCTCCTAGCGTTTTTCTAATCCTCAAGTCAGTTCTGATATGTACTTTTTGGTATGTCCTTGAGCTCTATCAACGATTCGTTTTTTATCTCCTCAATAGTCGCAAAATGCCGTCCTTTTATGATTGTCTTACATTTTGGAAAGAGGAAAAAGTCGCAGGGAGCCAACTCTGGTGAATACAGTGGCTGAGGCACGACTAAGCAAATTAAGGTTCACCTTCTGAAACTATACATACCTCTGTTTTTTTTCTCTCTCACGTACGAATAAGGGGAGATATCGTCGCCCTCACTCACTCAGGCTTTTCCTTCAAAGACAAGTTAGCTGTGGTTCGGCACTACTGATGAGACATATAGCGAGTCGAAACAGCGCTGCCTGGTGTTAAACAGGGCACTGGTTTTCAGGATACTGGTTTTACAGTTGCACTTGTTTCACTGATTTCACAGTTGTACTGATTCCACCCATTATAAACAACACTGGTTTCAGGACACTGGTTTTCAGCTGAAAGTCACTTGTTCACTCAATTCCTCGGTAAAGGCTGTAAATTCTAATCACACAGTATAAACAGGGCATTGGTTTTCAGGGCAGTGGTGTCTTAGTTGCACTCATTTCACTGTTTTGCACTGGTTTGCACAGTTGCACTGGTTTCACACTTGCACTGGTGTCACACAGTATGAATAGGGCACTGGTTTTCAGAGCACTGGTTCGACAGTTGTACTAGTTTCACAGTTGCACTGGTTTCACTCAGTATAAACAGGACACTGTTTCCAGAGCACTGGCTTTCAGCTGAAAGTCTCTTGTTCACTCAATTCCTCGATGGAGCCTGTAAATTTTGATTACACAGCTAAGAAGAAATTAACATTCCCTTTTAGCAAATAAAGGTCCACTTCCTAAATCTACACATACCTGTGATTTCATCTCTCTCACGTACTAATAAAGGGAGATATCGTCTCCCTCACTCACTCAGGCTTTTTCTTCAAAAACAAGTTACCTGTGGTTCAGCAGCACTGATGAGACCTATAGCGAGTCGAAACAGCGCTGCCTAGTGTTGAATCATAAATGCGTTGTGTTTGAGCACTGTTTTTCAGCCTAAAAGTCACTTGTTCACTCAATTCCTCGATATAGGCTGTACATTTTGATTACATAGTATAAACAGGGCACTGGTTTTCAGGATACTGGTTTCACAGTTGCACTTGTTTCACTGATTTCACAGTTGTACTGATTCCACCCATTATATACAGGAACCTGGTTTCAGAACACTGGTTTTAGGATACTGGTTTTCAGCTGAAAGTCACTTGTTTATTCAATTCCTCGGTAGAGACTGTAAATTATGATTACACAGTATAAACACATCATTGGTTTTCAGGGCAGTGGTGTCGCAGTTGAACTCACTTCACTGTTTTGCACTGGTTTGCTAAGTTGAACTGATTCCACAGTTACACTGGTGTCACACAGTATGAACAGGGCACTGGTTTTCTGAGCACTAGTTCGACAGTTGAACTGATTTCACAGTTACACTGGTGTCACACAGTATGAACAGGGCACTGGTTTTCTGAGCACTAGTTCGACAGTTGTACTAGTTTCACAGTTGCATTGGTTTCACTCAGTATGAACAGGAGACTGTTTCCAGGGCACTGGCTTTCAGCTGAAAGTCTCTTGTTCACTCAATTCCTCGATAGAGTCTGTAAATTTTGATTACACAATATGAACAGGGCATTTCACTGTTTTGCACTGATTTGCACAGTTGCATTGGTTTCACAGTTGCACTGGTGTAACACAGTATAAACAGGGCACTGGTTGTCAGAGCACTGGTTCGACAGTTGTACTAGTTTCACTGGTTTCACAGTTGTAGTGGTTTCACCCAGTATAAAGAGGACACTGTTTTCAGGGCACTGGTTTTCATCTGAAAGTCACCTGTTTACTCAATTCCTCGATAAAGTCTGTAAATTTTGATTACACTGTATAAAAAGGGCATTGGTTTTCAGGGCACTGGTTTCACAGTTGCACTGGTTTCACACAGTATACACAGGCCACTGGTTTTCAGGGCACTGGGTTTATAGTCACACAGGCTTCACTGTTTTGCACTGGTTTGCACAGTTGCACTGGTTTCACTGTTTTGCAGTGGTTTCACTGTTTTGTACTGGTTTCACTGTTTTGCTTTGGTTTCACACAGCATAAACAGGGCACTGGTTTCCCAGTTACAGTGGCTTCACGAATTTGCACAGTTGCACTGGTTTCACTGTTTTGCACTGGTTTGACACAGTATGAACAGGGCACTGGTTTTCAGTGCACTGGTTTGACAGTTGCACTAGTTTCACACAGTATAAACAGGGCACTAGTTCTGAGGGCACCGATTCCCAGATACGACTCACTTGTTCACTCAATTTCTTGATAGAGAGTGTACATTTTGATCAGACAGTATAAACTGTATTGAAATAAATAATGAAAACACATACTGCAATCATTTTTTGAATATTTTTGTTCTCTCTTAGTTCATCCAAAACCGTTGTGGGTAATGGAACTGACTGCCTCAGACGAGAATAGAATTGGAGTCCCGAATGTGAAGTTACTAGGGAATATGCATGGTAATGAAGCTGGTGGAAGGGAAGTACTTCTTCATTTCATTGAGGTAATTCTATTTCATTTTAGTTAGTATTTTTAGCAAGGTATTTTTAAACGATCTTACTATGACTCATTGTTGATATTACCTACCTACGTCTGTTCAATTACCTCTTCTGTTGACCAGTGTCAGCTGCTGCTTACGCAATTTCTGGTACATTTCGTAGATGTCCTCATAATAGGACTATGCTGTGATGGTTTGACCCAGTTGCAAAAAGTAACAGTGAATCACGTCAAGCGTTGACGCTTCTTTGGAAAGTGCCTGGGTAGCTCATCGGTGTCCAACCACTGTCTTGAACGTCTGTTGTAGTAGAGGATCATACCACTCTCCTCGTAGATTGCTGAGGACAGTGGAGTGATGACCAATTCATATATATGTGGGCTATAACTTGCGTGAAGAATTCGTTCTTCCGCTGGAAATAGCAGTTCCATACACAGCATCCTAGCTATTCCATTTGAACGAGTTTTAGTAGCTGAATCTCTGGAATTGATGACCGGTCTGAGCGGAACATCCTTCTTGTGGATTTTGGGTAACGATGATTTTTCCTTTTCCGAGAAATATCAGACAATGGAAGTCCGAACTGACGAAATTCACCATGGAACATTGTCAACCAATTTTAAACAAAAATATATTCTGTTGTAAATAACTTTTGATGCGGCCCAACTACATATTCTACTTTTGTAGATTGCTGGGCTTCATATTTCAGGTACTGTTACTAGTTGAGTTAGTTGCCGATAGGCAGGTGCTTCCTACTTTCCGGCTGCTCAACATTCTTTACGAAGAACCAATTGATATCAGTTTTGCCATTTGCACACTATAAAAATCTAACTGCCAAAATGATAATATTGAAACATCTGGTCATTTTTCAGTACTTGATCGACAACTATGGGATTTCAAAAGATGTGACTTGGCTTCTGAACAACACCAAGATACACGTTTTACCCTGTTTGAATCCCGATGGATTCGAAGTTGCAGCCACTACTTGCCAAGGTACAGCGGGGAGAGAAGTGCCTCGTTGGGATGTGGATTTGAACAGGCATTTTCCGGACTTCTTTGAAGATAATTCCTTAGCACTATCAAGGACGGACGTCAAGGAGTCAACAGCAATCATGGAATGGATGAAGAAGACTCCCTTCATACTATCTGCTGCTCTGCACGGAGGACAACTTGTTGCCAATTATCCATTCGATAACGTCAGAAAACGTGAGTAGGTAGTAAAATAAATGCGAAGCCTCTGAGGCCTGCAAAGAACTGTTACAAACCGTATTCGAGCCTGTAATCACACTTGACTTTGCTATTTTCGGAAATACTGAATCTTTCAAATTGGCAAGAAACCAAATCAATTGAAATAAGAACATGAGCTGTCACGGCCGGGGACATGGTTAGAAAGAACGATTTTCGGTAGGACGTTGTCGAAAAAAGAACCAAACATTTCGTCTGCTAATGCGGCATACATTTTCAGTGATGTAGGCGTTGACTGTAAGGACGAATGTAGTACTTCAAAGTCTTAGTAACGAATGATTGGAGGGCTCCGTATGCTTTCAGAATTATATTGGAAGGGGGTGGGGTGTAGGACCAAAATTCAACCAGGCATTTGTATCTGAATATGCTACAAAATTGCAGGTTTATGATTGATGAAATCGTTACCTGAATTGGTTTTCAACTGATGTTACGCTTCAGCCTGATGAGACACCTCCTCATTATGATAGACTGGATCGGGAGTGTCGTCATGGTCACTTGGAGTGACCTGCCAGCTCACCTGATATAAAGCCTCTACTTCTTTTTTCGTGGGCAGCCGCCAAATCTAAAGTATACGAGGTTTGGTTAGAGAATAACAGAATTTCTGGTGTAACTTTTTACAATTTTTACCTTCGCAACGTCCACATCATTTCCTTCATTACAGTCCTCTTCACAATCTTTACACATTTCCATTCGAATTTTCCACTGTCCAAAACGGTGTATCGAATCATTTTTTGAAAGCCTGTTCATAGTTTTCGAGGCTTTTTTGTTCACAACGTCCACTGTATTGAACCTGATTTATTTCACTGCTTCTGCCACTTTTGAGACTCTAAAAAAGTCACACGGAGCTATATCTGGTGAGTGGGGTGGATGGTCTAACAGAGGGATCACCAGGGAGAGTCTCGTTTATCAATGTGTTTGTGGTTCATTCTAGTACCAGTGATGAGACCTATGGCTTTGTCTGGTGATGAATCAGAAGTGTTCTGTTTGGGCTCTGGTTTTTAAATTGTGGACTCGCAGTGAAAGCTGCAGTGGAAGATTGGGGACGTCTCTGCCTAACATATAATCTTCTTTATCAATTTTCGTTTCCATGCAGCACAAAATTTGTGGTGTATATTGGTAATTTTTTAGGTCCGTAGTTCTCTATAAATGAGTGAGGGAGTAAAAGGATATAGACTTAAAAGATTAATTGATGAAGTGAAATAATTGATTCACAAAATTCATTCCAGTCAGTTGTTTCATACTGTATACTCTTATGAGGAAATTTTAAACAATAAAAACTTTTTCAGCCACACGACACTTCCATCAATTTCAATTGTTTTTATTGGAGTCGGGTTCATTATATGATTTTTCAGGTTCTACAGCCAAAGTGGAATCTCTAACACCGGATGATGCTGAATTCAAACATCTAGCAAAGGTATATTCGAAGAACCATCCAACAATGCATTTGGGAAAGAAAAACTGCGCAGGAAGCGACTTGTCTTTCGCAGATGGAATCACGAATGGTGCCAAGTGGTACACTTTTGCAGGTGAGCATTCTTCTAGCAAGTTCAAACACAAAATAGTTAAGGCTTTTGCGGCAGAGGTTCTCAGTATTTTTTTCTCAATATTTTTATCTAGAGATATACATGGCAAATTACGTTTGAGGTTGATTGACAAATCAAGTACTGAAAACAAACTAAATGACGGATGGCGTTCGAACTCCTTGTGAGTACAGAGGACAGTTGTGCCAATTAAATAAATAATTTGGACAATCCCTTCACGCGAGGGAGAAGGAAATATTAAGAGCAGATAGTTGTTGGTTCACAGATGGATCAAAAACACCTTCCGGTTCCGGTGCAGGTGTTTTCAGTCGCAGTCCCAGGACAGAGATATCAACCTGCCTAGGAACCTATGCGACTGTATTTCAAGCAGAAATTTACGCTATTGAATTGTGTTAGGAGAGATTGGAAGAGTCCAATCTCATACACGAGTCAATAAAAATATTCTTGGACGGTCAAGCGGCGTTAGAAGCTCTTGGCTCCTACCCAGCAACGTCTAAACTGATAGCAAATTGCCAAAAACGACTCTGCTTGACAGAAAGACTCAACAGATTGTATCTGGTCTGAGTTCCTGGCCATAGTGGCCTGGAAGGCAATGAGGCTGTGACTCCCTTGCGAAGGAGGGTGCTGCAAGCAGCTTCATTGGACCAGAACCTATCATTGGCATCGCTTTGGGCTTTGTCAAAGAAACACTGAACACCTGGATGGCAAGAAGATTTATGGACTTCTGGCAGAATCTTCCAGGATTGGCTCGCTCCAAGGCGTTTATTCACCCTTTGAACCTTGATACCAAACAGTTGTTGAACTGCAGTAGGGATGTCTAACAGACCTTCGTACAGGTCTACTATTTTAACCATCATATGCAGAAACTCAGATTGTCGGAACACAGTGTGTTGCCTCTGTTTGGAAAATGATGAAACAGCAGAGTACCCCCCGCTGGGGACCAAATCAGGTTTTTACAGTTTGGCAGAGCCGTACTCTTACCGTCTGACCTGAAAAACCACTCACCATACAAACTAATCGGCTTCGTTAAGAAGCTGGGTGTATTTGGTCTAGTGGGAATAGGTGTGAGCCACAATAAACCCTAAAGAGTTGCGGTGGAGGGTCGAATAGACCAACTCACTTTGGATCTAACCTAACCTAACCCTTCACGCGAGCTTTTTAAATGATCGATTCCCCGTACTCCCTTGACAGAATGTAGTTAATTTATTTGAACTATTGTCTCCAAATTCGTTTATTGTCAACTCAAGATTCTTGTTCTTATTCTTGTTACAGGAGGAATGGGTGATTATAATTACGCATTCCATGGATGTATGGAGGTAACACTGGAAATTTTTTGCTGCAAGTATCCGAAACCAAGGCAACTGGAAGCACTTTGGAAGGACAACAGACAGGTAATGATATATTTGTTCTTTCCTCTGAATAAGGTTAGATCTCCACAAGTTTTGATGGATACGGTTGAATATTCCGATTCAATGTTTTGCTAACGCTGTCTATTTTCAGTCTCTGCTGATGTATTCCATGCAAGCCAACATGGGGGTGACCGGACAAATTGTTGACTTCGATACAGGGAAACCCATAGAAAGAGCCGAATTGAATATTGTTGGAAGAGACATGGCTTTCTGGAGTTCCAACAAAACTGGAGAATTTCGGAGAATTCTGCTACCTGGTAAATACCAGTTGAAGGTTAGTCGAACACAAATGAAAATGAAATCATTTTGCTCAGTCATTTATGGAAATAGATGGCGGTGAGCTTCAATGCCAAGCGAGAAGTTTCTAGTCTCCATTCTCGAAAGTACTAGGCCCGCCCGCTGCCTCATATGAAAGCGCGACGATATTACGAAAACAAGTGAATTCAGTTAGCGACTAGCTAGGTGAAGTGCTGTAGGTGCGGTGATGAAAACTGTGAGTGGTGTCATTAGAAAGTTTTTGATACTCGATTCTTTACTTCGGCATTTTTGAAGACAAAATTATGTCGGAAGCAGTAAAGAAGAAACGGCAGTATTGCGCGGAATATATAAAATATGGATTTATTGAAAGTTCCATAAATCCATCTTCACCTATGTGCCTTCTTTCATAGAACTGATAACTAACGAGGAAATAAAAATAAAATTCAAAAATGGATACCAAGAATTTTGGCTACAAAAACCAATCCCGCAATTGTATCCTGGATTGTGGTCCATCGTTCAACGGTTTTTGATAGCGTTGCCATCGTTGTATTTGTGTGAACGTGGATTTAGTGCTGTGGCAACGTTGCCAAATAAAAAAAAATAGGTTGCAGATTACAGATCGCGGTGACTGATACTAACAAACTTGTTAAAAATCATTAAATTCATCCTACACATGTAATTAGTTTTAAAATTCAAAATGAAATGTTTGTTTTAATAACATAAATAAAAGTTTTCCTGATATTACAAAATGGTGTTCAACATTACCCTCATCAGAAAGTCTTATTTTCACATGACACACATAATTTAATTATTAAAATAATGACTGCGATTGTGATTCTAAAGTTGTAGTTAAGGTAAAAAATTTGGGGGGGAGCTGGAAAATAATTCATTCTCGAAGTGGGCGGTACACAAAATAAGTTTGAGAACCTCTGGTCTAGCACCACATTGTTCAATGAGTACATATAGAGATGCTATCCGCTGCTCCTGTTCAGTTGCCATGGTGAACTTGATGCTGGGGTGTTGAGCGTTCAAGTGGTCTTGGATATGGTTCAGAGCGTCTCTTCTATGTTTGCAGATGACGGAGGTGTCATTCACGTAACGTAGCCACAAGGTCGGTTTCAATTCAAAGGTGTCGACTACTTGAAGTAGTTGGCTATAACTGGGCTAAGTGGACTTTCCATCGCCACGCCATCTAGTTGCTCATAGAAGGTACCCCTTCATCACGTAAAGTTTCTCTCAATGGAGGGGTTTCGGGTTTGTCAATCCAAAATAGTGATACTGAAAACCTCAGCCACGAAAGTCTTGACCATTTCGTCAATGAAATAATTGTATGTCTCTTCAAAAGTTATGTTTTATTGGCTATTGTTTTCCATTTTGCCTTCATTCAGCACTTGTGTTATATTTCAATATAAGTAATGATGAAATATTATGTTATCGATGCTAACAATACATCAAAAATATTGAAACCCTTTTCTTTCAGGTACAGAAGACAGGATACCATACAATGATAAGAAACTTCACAGTTGCCAAGACAATCGGCTATCCAAAGCTGACTTTTGTGACTATTCTTCTTTACAACTCATCTAGCCACACCACGACAACAACAACCACAACAACAACAGGAAGAACTACGAGTACCACTCCTCAACTTGTAATTTCCAAAAGCACATTCGTACCAAGAGTTCTTTCTCCAAGAATATCACTAGAATACACCGAAGAAGTTCCACCTCCAATGCTTGACTTAGCTGTAAGAAGCTCATCAAAAGAAGACAGGAAACATTTCATTTTGATTGTAATGGTCCTCATGATGAATTTGTTCGGTCTTCGTTGACCGTTTTCATGCAAAATGACATGAAATGACCGAAAACTGTTTGCTTAAGGATGAGAGCCATATACGAATCACAGGATACATTGTACACCACCAATTGAGTTTCAATGTAAATATCTGCCTTTTCTATCTCAGCCTCTATCTTTAAAACTAATTTCTCCAACAAAAAATACTTTTTTAATTCTATCTAGATAGTCTCCTACTGACACCAACTGAAAATCAAGTAATATAGTAGTAAGTAAGTGAGTAGTTTCCAGTGTTATTATTTTTAGGCGTCAGTCCATTCAACCTACTGTGTAGGTATATACGAGACAGGCTTGAACGTTTAAAGCTCATTTCTTTAGATTTGTTTACTGCCAGTTTTCAAGCATAGCCCACAGACTAATAAGAAAATAATAAGTTTATTTACGAAATAATAAAGGATACTAATATAATATTTGTTGTATCTGGAATATATAACATTTATAAAGTAGCAAGGTAAACAAACAAAGGCATCACAGAACTATTTGCGAAATATGTTTCTTGTGCGTGATTTCGCATAGTACATAGTAAAAACATAACATGTATACGACACTTAGATGAATAAACGAATGAAATGGATGAATGAATCGCAATATATAGATATGAAAATGAACAACATAAATAAAAATATACTCAACACTCAATTGAACATCAGGTATTTGATACAAAAAAAAAGTAGAAGGCATGATTGAAGTGAACATAGATTGACTTTGAGTATTATGCATCTAATAATGCATTTATCACCCTTCTCGGGTTTTTGTTAATAAAGTCTTTCAGCCGTTTTTTGAACATATTAGTGTGCTTTTCAGAGATTTGATCTCTTCCGGAATGTGATTATACCATTTTGGTGCAAGCTAAACAAACTTTCTTTGTGTTGTAGTTTTGGTAATTGAAGGAAATGTGTGATAGTTTTCATTTCCTGTGTTATATTTATGAGTAGGGGGTTGGTTGGAGTGTTTTGAGGTGTGATATTAAATACTTATGATACAGAAGAATAACTGTCTCAGGTCTAAGATCTGTGATTCAGAATAAAGTTGAAAGAGGGCAGAGGAGGTTTTTTTGTTCTTACAACACCATCTACAAACAGGTCACAAGATTAATTTTGAGTCCACAAAACAGATAGCACAGGTGCAAAACCCAAGAATTCGACAAATCAGGGAAGCTATCAAAATCGAAAAGCAAGGCCTCATCAACAAAAGGGATGACTCACTAAACATCCCAAGGATTTGGAAAACAATAATTAAAAACAACCACCAAAGACAACCACAAATTGATAATGAACCATCGCAGGTAGGAGAACCGCCAGAATCCATTAACAACCCTCAGGTAGAAAAACAGGTAGGAGAACTACCAAAAGCCATCAACAACCGTCAGGTAGGAAAACAGGTAACAAATCCATACAACTTACGCAAGCGAAACCATATAAAAACACCACATGAAGAACCTAACATCAGTTACACCTCTCGAAGCGAAGCAGTAACTCGTCTTGTTAATGCCATCTGAAATGATGGCGAAACGTCGACTATCGAATAGTACACAACGGATGAACACCAGGAAGAACAACACATCATACATATATATATATATATATGTATGATGTGTATATGTAGGACTGCACATCTTTGTATAGAGTTGATTTTTTTAAATTGATTGCTTTTTCCCTTTCTTTGGAAGATTCTCACATTTTTTGTAGAAGTAGAAGGTCAAAAACTTTCTTTCCCAAAAATTAACCTCTCCTAAAAATATACCCTTTTCAATTTGAAGCTATTGTATATTGAATCACGAATTGAAGTTTTATGATCTATTCTGTGAACATTCCTTTGAAATAACTCCTTCTGAAATTTTCAAAACAGAGCAGTTTTATGTCTATTGTTTTCTGTTTTTGAAATACTAGCATACAAAAACGATAGAAATCAAAACCATGTTTTGCATACAGACAAAACATTGCATTCGAAAAATTTGTTATCATATCTTTCTTCGAAATTTTTAGAAAAAACTTCAAATTTTGTTGGAACCGTTAATTTCAACACCTCGACACGAGTTTCGAACACCAAGTGATCATCTTCAAGAGAAAGATTGAACAGTATGATATTCCTTTTGAAGATGATCACTTGGTGATCGAAACACGTGTCGAGGTGTTAAAATAACGGTTTGGTGTTTGAAAAAACTCCGGTAATATTCATTACTACACCAAAGGTTCCAAACAGTGCATCACGAGGGTACAATATAGACTGGTCATTAAAAATCATGAAAATCATGTATATCTATTTATTTCATGTCAGACAATAAAAACAATTTAAAAAAGCGCCGGCGCCCAAAATCTAAAATCATCAAACTGTGCATGCAGATGGTGGACAATTCGAAACGAATCGGCGTTTATAAAACGGCTGCCTGAAAACATAGCTCTCATTATTCATATTCAAAACTTGGGAATACATCATGGCTTCTAGTGATTTCCTTTTCTCGATTTCTCCAATGGACAAATTCCTGCTGAAAAATTCGTTTGACTTTTCTTCCAAATCCGGGCAAAACAATTTGATGGCGACGTTGAGAGCTGCAGCTGCCAGTATTGATAGACGGGATGAAGAAAATTCTGGTAGAAGTACCGTGCAGTCCAAAATGTAGTAAACGGAAAAGTGAGCCAACTGGAAAACAAATTGGAATTGAAACACTTTTATAGAGTACGATTTACATTATCTTTATTCACACATGGTACCTTCAGAATACGGTGGCTAAGGCATGATTAGGTTATGAAGAAAAGAGAATTGAAACTTTTTATGTGTTTACCACTTTTATTTGTAACTAACGTTACTGCAATTAGTTACAGTCCTATAGGGACATTTTCAAACTTATACGTTATATTAGGATATTTTTAAACTTAATAAACTCAATGTTTAATGTATAAGTTTGAAAATTTCCTCACAGGATAAAACTGCAGAAACGTTAATTACAAATAAAAGTGGTAAAAACCTTCTGTTTTCTTCATAATGATTTCCTACCACATAGTAATGCTACATCTATCAATTCATGATTTCGTTGTTGGTTTTGGCCAAAAAATTACGAACAACCAAAGACGGATGAGTAGTTAATTCACAATAGTTTGCACTGGAACTACTATGTTAGTGTTTTCATATGCTAGTGGCCTAACTACTATCCGTTAGTAGTACGTAACTACTACCGATTAGTATAACCTACCTGATACCTGCTACTCATCCAGGTATTTTAGCAGAGGAACATTAACAGGTAGTTGTTAGGTATTACTAACCGGTAGTAGTTCGGCCACTAGCATATAAAAACACTAATGATTTCCTACCACGTAGTAATGGCTACATCCATCAATTCATGATTTCGTTGTTGGTTTTGGCCAAAAAATTACGAATAGTCAATGACGGATGAGTAGTTGTTTCACAATAGTTTGCACTGGAACTACTATGTTAGTGTTTTCATATGCTAGTGGCCTAACTACTATTCGTTAGTAGTACGTAACTACTACCGGTTAGTATAACCTACCTGATACCTGCTACACATCCAGGTATTTTAGCAGAGGAACATTAACAGGTAGTTGTTAGGTAATACTAACCGGTAATAGTTAGTTAATACTAACAGGTAGGAGTTCGGCCACTAGCATATGAAAACACTAATGATTTCCTACCACGTAGTAATGACTACATCCATCAATTCATGATTTCGTTGTTGGTTTTGGCCAAAAAATTACGAACAGTCAATGACGGATGAGTAGTTAATTCACAATAGTTTGTACTGGAACTACTATGTTAGTGTTTTCATATGCTAGTGGCCTAACTACTATCCGTTAGTAGTACGTTACTACTACCGATTAGTATAACCTACCTGATACCTGATACTCATCCAGGTATTTTAGCAGAGGAACATTAACAGGTAGTTGTTAGGTAATACTAATCGGTAGTAGTTAGGTAATATAAACAGGTAGGAGTTAGGACACTAGCATATGAAAACACTAACATAGTAGTGAAATATAGTCACAATGATCTCCTGAGGATGCTGACTTTGTGCTGGAAAAGTGTTTTCAACAGATAGGTAAATCATAACTTTGAGGAATGTTACTCACTTGGATTTGATGAATCTCCATCAGCTTCAAATAATAGTTAATATAAAGGGAAGGTTCGATGGAATGTATCTCAAAGTTCATCAGCTTCAACACTTTGCGTTCCATTTTGATAAGTTGACTCAACATGTAAGCTTCACCGCATAAGTCCAACAAAGTTGAAGCCTACAAAATAAAGAAAATACTTCACTGGTGATTCAACATGAATCTTTTCATAGAAATATTCAAAGAAAATAGATCCTGAGTAGAAAAAAGTATTCTAAAAATAATTCAGGTCCATAGTCAGTGGACTTATCCTGGGCAAATCTTTTTAGTGACAGATTAAATGATGATAGAACGTGAAGTTGTTAAAAAACAGTTTTTGTTCCAAAAGAAATTCAGGTTCACTTTCAGTGGTTTTTACTACGTCGAAACTTTTGGGTATGAAACTGTCTTCACTGTCTGAAGGATAAAATTCTCATTGATGAAGCCATCTTTAGTAAAGACGTTGGAATATACTTGTGAAAACATAATATGATTGGAACATTTGAGGTTACCAAAAAGTAACTCAGTATGTATATTTGATATAACGATCCATCAAAAGCGACCAAAGGAAATCAAACACAGTGAAGAAAAAAGTACCTAGTACCTCGAAAAACTTGGAATTTTTTTGAACAAGCCTACAAGATGTTGAAATGGAAATCTGGAGAAGTAGACAAGACAGAATATTACGAATATCAACCAAAGTGTTTGTTGTAACTTACAGTCAGAATATCAGATCCAATTAGCTTATTGGCAATCCATATAGTACTCACTGCCAATAACTGATACATATTTGTAGGGACTGTAGTTCTGGCTAGAACTTGATCTAGTAAGTTCACAGATAAATATAGTTCTTCATCATTGAGTGAAACTTGTTCCTGAAAATATATGTTGTTGAAATTTAATCACATTGAGAGCAATAGAAGATAATTTTATAATAATGAATATTCGGTGGACTATGTTCTTTCTTGAATGGATCTCTCAGTGTAGAAGTAGAGAGAAATATAGCTAACTTGTGTGAGCTAAGGTCTACATTTAATTGGTTGTCTCATCTTCATCACAGAGCAATCCATTCTATGAAATATGTCAGTGGAAAAATGATTACGCCAAATTATCATCTGAGCATATTATTCCCAACCTCAAAACTCCTTAAAATTGTTAAAAAAGTACTATTTGCTATAATTCGATTGAAAAATGCCACAACCTACAATGTGGAAAAAAATCATTTTCGTTTGAACAGTCTCCTTATCAATACCTGTATTTCCAACATCCAATTTACCACTGATGCTCTAAATTTCTGATCAGGATTGAATTTTTCCAGGAAATCCATAGGCAGCACGATCCTTCCTTCTTTCGCACCCACAATTTCGAGGTTCACCTTGAATGGAAACTTTTTAAAGAGTTTTTAAAAAAAGATTATAAACTCACCTCTAAATATTCCTCATTATAAATGTCTCCTACATAGGCAGCACTATTATTAACTACAATGAAGAACAGAGAGTGTTACAAGAGTCAATCATCTTCAACAATTCATCATCACTGAATAGGGTGGTGGAAAAAAATGTATATCATACAGAGTCTATCAGTGTGTCAGTGTTGCTCCTTTGTTTGAGGCAGAAAAATGTATGAAATAAAAGTCCTAGTATAAACTTTGTTTTGAAAATTATTGTCAAATCACATTGTGATAGCAGACAAGCCCTATTAGCCTTGAACAGACAACGTTTTATCTCAGGTCTAGTACTAGAGTGCCACCAAGATTTAGCAACAGCCTCGGTAGATAATAAAATTATCCCGGGGAGGGTTGAAGGTGACGACAGGATTGAAGGTAATCGCATTGCCGACTATTTAGCCAATAAAGCGGCAGGACTAATAAGAATTTTAGGACCCAGTGGCACCTACGGCCTGATAACTTCGACAATTGCGGAACTAGCCAAATGTCACACCCAAGCTCAATCCCTTAAGAGATGGGATGGAATCAAAAGATGCAATCTTGCCAGGATCACCCTGGGCTACCCTGGGAAGCTTGAGCCAAAGAAATATCTGGTGATGACCAGGAAAAACCTACACTTAACAGTAGGACTTCTGACCGGCCACTGTCAATTAAGAAAACACCTCCATAATGTGGGGCTAGTGGACACACCTCTATGCAGGATGTTTAAACAGGAAGATGATACTGTCAGGCATGTTCTATGCGAGTGTCCGAGATATCGTCAATAAGAGAGTGTGTGTTCAGCGAGACTTGGCCTACACCTGCCGATATAAAGAAGATGTCTCCTAGTGACCTGTTTACCTTCCTGGAAAGGACAGGATGGACGATGACCTAGGAGGACAACTCCGCGGGAGGATGTACAGTGGGTCACATGTGGTCTAATGCTATGAGCCTAGACTCACCCTCCCTACTCTACAAATACAGATACAGATACATTTTGCTCAATGATTGTGTGATTTATCAAAGATGTATTGGTGGAGTTGATGTCACAAATTGGGTTCATTAACACCCAGTATATTCCAATCTATAAAACGAAATAAAAAAAAAACATTTGAATATCCTTTTTTAGTTTCCTATTTGTAATTTTGACAAGTATCGCTTTTTCCATTCGGAGGTAATCAAAACTTTTTCTAATGGAAAACTCTGGAAATAGGGCTATACTAGAATAGTCCACACTACGAGACCAAAGAGAATGTGAGGTTTGATTACTTGGTTTGCTTTAGGAAATATACTCTTGTAGAAAATATGAAAAAGTCGATAAATCAGAACATGAACGTTTTTTTTATTCAACGCAGAAAAAAACAAATTTGCATTCTGAGCTTCTCATCAATCAAATATATCTTTAATTTCGATTCGGACTTCAAGTAATGCATATTTCGTAATAGAGAGAAAAACTTTCCTAATTCTATTTTCAATCTTGTATTATTAATTTCCTGCAGTAGGTCCATTCCTTGACATATTCCTAGATAACAAATCTACCGGACTAAGGTCTGGAAAAGCTTAGCCTAAACTATGTTTCAGCTGTTCTTGAAACCTTGAATGGAAATTCTTGTATGATACTCAATAATTTATACTGAGGGTTTGGAGAGTTATGAACACGTTTATCTCCATGAGTCCAATTGGAGAGGGGGTTGAAAAACTATTACATAATTTGCAATACTCACTTCTTCTGAGAGCTCTTCTCACCAGTTTTGCACTTCTTTGACTCTTTGTCTTTCTGCTGATCAAAGTATTCGAAGACGTGAATGGGTTTGGTGGAATTGGAGAGCATTTTCTTCGATATTCCGTCCTATTTTCCAGTTTCATGGTAGAACTAGCCAGAAAGAGTTTCTCTGGGTTCAAATTGATTGACATCCTTGGCTTGGTAGAGTTTCTGGTGATTATTTCAACTGGTTCAATGGCCAACGAACATGAACGTGTTCTTGTTGTCCTTGGAGCTTCGAACAGTGGAAGAATCGAATGTTTTTCATTAAAAAAATCAATAATTTATATCAATTTATGATTTTACAGAAGGGTGCGACATATATAGTATGCGAAGCCTTCAACTTTCTAACTGATGATTGACTGACTCAAACCTCACAATAAACCAAATGTTTTATTTAGTCAAAAAAAGATTTTTAGACTTACCTGTTTCCTGGTCACGCTTATTTCGGTCTTTCAATATGTTTTTCGCCTCTACACACTTCTTCGTACCCTTCATAATATTTTTCGCATCTTCACTCCTTCTCCCCTCTTTCAAATCGTTGCTTGTCCCTCTAGATCTGATGTTTTCTTTGCCAACTTTCTTCACTTCTTCGCATTTCTTTTCTACTTTGGTCGCGATATTCAGATATTCACATTTGTTTTTGTCTCTGACAGCGTGTTTTGCTTCCAGTTTGCCAGATGACTGTCGATTTGGTACTCGTCCTTCTTCTTTTCTTATGGCGGGGCCGCATCTGCAGGATCCTGTAGGATTCGCTGAAGAACTAGAAGAACTTTTTCGAGGTTGTAATTTGACAGCAGTTGCTGAAAAACACAAATGTACTTGTACTTAATCAAACATAATTGGGGCGATCTGAATTTATATTATTTAACTAACTGTATCTAGCTTATATTTTGGGTTTGTTGGTCGTGGTCTATAAGTACCTACTCATGCCTGACGTTTCGTCTAAGGAAGCGGTAGGCAAAGGGAATGAAGTGTTTGAGTTGGCATCAGCAGCTGTGAGTAGATGCAATCGTGTAAGAAAGGTTAAGCATAACACCCAGAAACAGGACCCATTAACAGAGCTTCCCAACAAAAATATGATCCTTTTGTAACTCAACATCGTACCCTTGTTCGAAAATAAAAAAATACGTAATTTTTTGTTTCAAAGGGGTCTACATTTTATCATACTCGAACCTTCACCACTTTAATGCAGCTTCCCCAATATTACATTGGAAAAAAGATGATAGTGGAATATCACCTACTATCATCATTTTGAATTTTTTGAAATTAATTCATTATTGCTAGAGAAATTCGGTTTTCAACATTAGTGCTCTCCCTAACAATTATTTGTCACAGTTCTTAGGGATCTGCAGAAGTGGTGGTGAAAAATTTCTACTGAAGGCAAGCGAAATAAAAAGCAATGGCCAGAGATCAGGAAATTCAGCTGGATAGTCCCCTAGATCACTTTGTCGATAGAGAGCCTGGAAAAATATGTATTTATTGAGAAAATGATGCATTTCAACCCAAATCAAGTATCAACAAGTTACTATTCTCCAATTTTTGCAAAAACGTGAGCAATCATCATCATCATCATTTTTTGGTATACCAAAGAAGCTATTGAACAGAAAAAAGTAATATCCATTACATAATGAATGTAACTGAGGATAATTAGTTATTGAAGCAGTTCCGGCGTCACTTCAGTTTTCGGGACCACACCCACAAGAAGGAGTGGTATATCAACCGAAAATGGATGATGAGAGGAATATAATGGTAGTGGTTTTAGAACGAGGAAATAAAGAAGTGTTTTTAATGATGCTCAACATTTGGGGTTAGGGTTGGGGTTAGGGTTAGGTTTGGAGTTAGGGTAAGGGTTGTAATGAAGGTTTGGGGTAAGGGTTGAGGTTGGGGTTAGGGTTATGAATAGGGTAAGGTTTGGGGGTTATGATTAGGGTAAAGGTTGGGTTGGGGTTATGGTCATAGTTATTGTAATGGTTGGGGTACATCAAATTAGTCTATATAGCAGTAGGTAATTACAGAACATAGGTAAAATATTAGGTAAATTATTTTGGTGGAACAGGTAGATTTGGAAAAAAACATTTACAATACGATATTACTTCCAGTAAAACAAGTAATTTTGAATACTTTTGATGCGTTTGAAGTCTTAGGGGTTTCAATATATTCATATATGATCAATGTCATAATATCAATTATTTGAAAGCCACATGTTTGGCCACCTTGGTAACCAGATTTACCTACTCTAGATTTTTTAAAGAACACCTTCAGAACACAGTCAAAACACAAACTCTTCGACTACAGAAAGAATTTATTATGAAGAGCTACTAACAATAAAGTTTTGATAATAATAGGTAAGTGTTGGACGTAAAGGATTTTGTTTTCAATACCTATCAGGAACTAATAACTCAAATTGGAAATGCATTTTGTCATTAGGTTGACAAACATTTATGTTTCTTTTGAATGTCAGTTTTTTGAAATGATGAATAATTGGCAAACGGCATTTTGTGTTGTGGAATTGGCCGCGGTGGTAGTACGCCCGACTCACGATCGGAAGGCCGTGGGTTCGATTCCCGCCTCGATCAGATATTTTTCTCGAGATAATTTATCTGGTTGAATCTGGGATGAATCTGCAACCGTGTTGGGAATTACACGTTAAAAGGTGAGACCTCGTTAGTCCTTAGCTCGCACAAGTTTCTCAACTTCTGAGAATTGTCGTTCGTATGGGGGCGGCAGCTGATTAACGGAAAAACAGATTTCAAACAGATTTTTCTTTTAATAGATTTTGATGTCAATTAAATGCCAATAATTGAAAAAATATTTTTGAAATAGATTAAAGTAAACATCAACTGATTATAATTTTCTGGTAAATTTGAAATATCACCTTTTCCAGACCCAGGATCAAGGAAAACATTTTTCTTCTCTCTTGTCAATATGTTTTTCATTTCTTGTTTGAGCACAGCTTTGTAATTGATTTCAATAATTTTATGGCCCATATTTTCTGTCTTTGAAGATCGTGGATCAGGAAATTTATTACGCTGAGTGGGCAGCACATTACCTGAAAAAAATTAACTGAAATAATAAGAGGGTTCCTATAAACATTATTGAAGTTTTCTAGGATTAATAGAACTGAATCACAATCTACAGGACGAATTTTTATTACTTATGAAAAAATAGATTGATTGTTCAAAGAATGTAAACTTTCACAGACGAAGATAATAATAATAATAATAATTTTTATTTTCCTTTAGACAATAAGAAATTGTATAGGAATTGTTTCAAAAGTAGAAAGTAGATCAACAGAAGTTAGGCATACTAACAGTACAAACCACAGTCTTATGCTAAAGATAATTAGATTACATAAAAATAAAATATCACAAAGATATCACAATAGAGTTACAGTACATTACATTAGCTTACAGAAAAAACGAATCCACGTCATAAAAACACTGTTCGATCAAGTACGATTTTAAGCGAGATTTGAACAAAGGTGCAGGTACACAATTTCGAATATCATCGGGTAGAGAATTGAAGACTTTAGGCCCTATTACATTTGGTGACTTCGAACATATCATTGTTCTGTAATGGGGAACATCAAAATTGTCTGGTGAATATCAGATCTCAGTATAAATTTAGCTTTATTATTAAAAATGTATAAACAAGTTTCAAATATAAATATAGACGACATTGTTAAAATTCCAATATTTTTAAAACTATAGCGGCAGGATTATCTTCTTTTCAGACCAGTCATACTCCATATAACTCTTTTTTGAGCAATAAATACTTCATTTGCCAAGGGGAATACGCCCCAGAAACAAATTCCATAACGAAGTCTATTATCGACTTGTGCATAATAGAGTTGTCGTAGCATATCAAGACTGAAGATATGTCTTAGGTTCCTCAGCTGGAGGGATATAGTATTGAAGCGGGAAATCAGATGTTCACATTAAATTTTCCAGGTGAGACCTTTATCAACATGTATACCCAGGAATTTTATACATTCTTCACCCGTCCTAAGATAAGAATATTATTATGATACCTTATCACCCTCGTTTTTTACATGTTCATGAAAAGGAGGTTAGCAGCAAACCACTCTTCCATACTGGTTACAGTTAGTTCACATTGTTTGACTAATGTTACATTGTCATTAGATGATAAGACAACGGACGTGTCGTCTGCATATAAGGTAAAAGAAGCGGGAACGTCCAGTTTGTCAATATCATTGATATGTAATAAGAATAATACAGGTCCCAAGACGGACTCCTGTGGAACCCCTATATTTATGTTTCTTATTTGAGACCATGCATTATTTACTTTAATGTACTGCTTTCGATTTTGAAAGAAGTTTGAAAGCCATTTTAGTGGTAAACCTCTTATCCCATAACGAGATAGTTTTTCTTTCAAAATATCATGATTGACACAATCGAATGCCCTGCTGAGATCGCGAAAGATCCCAACAGGACACTCGCCGGTGTCAAAACATTTTATGATTCTGTTATAAAATGAATGAACTGCAGTCATGGTTGATCTATTATTCACAAAACCATGCTGATTTTCTGATAGGATTTTCTCTTGTTTGAGAAAATTAAGCAATCTATCTAGGTATGCATATTCAAATATTTTGGAGAATCCACAAGGGACCGTTATGGGTCTGTAGTTCTCTGGTAAAAATGAATTTTTCTTTTTAAAGATGGGATTTACTTTACCGATTTTCAATCTTTCTGGAAAGATTCCTGTATGAAATGAAAGGTTAACCAGAAATGTAAGAGGTTCAACCAAAATTGTCAATGCAGTTCTAATAATAAAGAGTGGCAGTTCATCATGTCCAGAAGAGAATTTGTTTTTCAGTTTGCAACTGAGTAGTAGGAACATTTCATTATCAGTAAAGGGATATAAAAACATAGAATTATGATGATTATCTAATTTCTTCATCAGATGGTCACAATTTACTAGAGGGGGCATAACAATTTTTGATATGGTTTCGGAAGTGACGTTTTCAGAGTATTCGCTCAATATTTCAGCAATAGATTCATCATCTTAGATCAAGTCATTATCTATTTTGAGGTTTATGTTTCGTACATTCTTTGTTTTATTTGAGAGTTCGGATACGATATTCCATGCAGTCTCTGCTGGATTGTCCGATTTATCAATTTTCTGTTGAAAATATTTTTTTTTGCTGAATCAACAAGACTATTGTGTTTACATTTTTCTTGGCTATACAAATCTGATAGTGAAGGAATTTGTTTTTTTAATTTGAACAAGTGTTTCAACTTCATGCTAGATTTTTTCACATCATTAGTAATCCAACATTTCCCTTTGACTTGATTGAGAACTTTGCGTTTTGGGAAATGCTTCTAAATAGTAAAGCATGAAATTATTATAAAAATACTGATATGCCTGAGCCATATCGGAGATACAATGAAGTTCTAGCCATGTTTCATGTTTTATATCTGTAATAAAGTTTTCAATTGCGTTATTTTTGATGAATCTCCTGTAATCATCAGTATGGGTTTGTGATTTGTGATCAATACCTGAGTCAAACATTGTGGTGCTGTGGTCAGAAATAATATTATCGATAACACAAGTTGTCTCATTGTCAGAAAAGTTGACAAATAAGTGATCAATGATTGTCGCCGTATATTGTGTTACTCTAGTTGGCCATTTGACAACGTGTGGAAGCTATTTTCTGGGTTTTTCAGCCGAGGTCGGCAGGTTTTTATGGCTGAAGTTTCGTCCACTAATGCAGTAGACATGATCAAAGGCGACAGTTACGACATCGCCTCTGATAAAGTCTACCGCAGTAGTAGACGAAACCTGGAAAAGAGCTTTCACACAAATTAACTGTTAATTTCTCTCTAACTCACCCTTTTTATCACGAAGGGCTGTCTCCTTCGGAACCTCAGATATTTTAGAACTCTTTGCTTTTGAACATCCCGGTACAGGGGCATTTTCCTTTCCATCAACATGGACTCTGAAAGCACGCATTTTATAAATCAAAACCCACAATATTTCACTATTACCAAGTATTGGAAGAGCCACAGAGAAATAGGAATACCTTTTTCAAAGGCTCAGTTTTTGCGATAAGTTTTGTTCGAAACTTTTTATCGATGTTCAGGTTTTGTTTTTTTCGTATCATCTTTGGAATTTGATGAATTGCTTATACGTACCGAGATAAATGAATTTTGGGAAATCATGTTGGAGAAATGAATTCAATAATTTAAGAAAAACAAAAAAAAGGTTTCCTGCAACATTCACATCTGAAAAATGAATGAATCTGAATCAACAGAGAAGTTGCTCAAGTATGATACAGGGTCAAATGAAAAGTTCACCTTCAAAATTTACTGCGTGATATAAACTTCTGAGAAATCCAATTTGTGTTCATTACTTTTGCCTATGAATACAATAAATGATTGAAACAATAAAATATTTACTGAGCCTTCCCAAAATGACTTATCAGAATGTTTAAAAAAAAGATATTATGATGGAGTTATAGTTGCAGATGCCATAACCTAGATGACATCAGTCCCCAATCATTTGAACATGTAAGAACCTACACGTAAGAAAAGGAAGTGTATAACCAACTTCCTTTTCTCGATATGATGATTGAAAAAACAATAGATAAATATTTTTCATATGGCAGATCATACAATCATAAACTCAACAACAATCGAACGATCAACATGGGTTTGTGGAACAAAAGTCATGTGTGACCAATCTTGCATGCCTTTCACAACATGTTCCAGATGCTTTAAACCAAAAGCAATAAGTTGACTAGTTTATACGGACATGCAAAAGGCGTTTGACCAAATTGATTTTTACATCTTCATTCAGCGACTATCATCGTTTGGCTTTTCTGGAAGTTTAATTGATCTTTTCACGAACTATCTCTTTGACAGAAAGCAATACGTAGAACATGAAGGTTTTCAGTCCTCTTTGTACACGCCTAGCTCAGGGGTACCACAAGGCTTGAACTTGGGGCCTCTTTTATTTCTGCTTTTCATTGATGACCTGGCGAAAATGATGAACTGCCCAAAACTTCTCTACGCTGATGATCTAAAGCTAAACAAAGTAATTGATAATTATGAAGACTGCTTAATTTTACCAAATGAAATCGATTTAGTATTTGACTGGTGTTCCAAGAACCATTTACGTTTGAACATAATGGAGTTTTTTTTATGTTATTGACAGCATTCCAGTTAGTCGAGTAAAGGAGATTACAGATCTTGGAATCACTTTTGATTATAAATTCACTTTCACTTCCCACATAGACCAGGCTATCTCATCAGCGAATCGAATGTTGGGCTTTATTATAAGGAGTACCAGAGAATTCAAGAATATTAATACGATTATAATACTGTTTAATGCCTATGTGAGGTCTAAACTAGAAACTAAAAGATGGAATTTATTTTGGCGGAGATTCTTAAAAATTTCATTTGAATAACAACGACGTGTTTTCTATACGGAGCCACGCAAAGAAAATACCCTTTCACACATAGAATCGGTATCGGTTCAGAGTTACAATAGACATATACACCAAGCCCACCGATTCTGAATATAAATGAAAGCAAATAACTTCACAATCAGAGAATTAGGGATGGACTGCTTGTCAATCCTAACGGGTCTAGATCCTTCTGGTCGGTAGCTAAAGCTGTTAATCAAAACTTCACAAAATCCACAATTCCATCACTAACATAAGCGGATGGTTCAATTGCAACAACAGCCATAGAAAAAATAAATCTACTATCAGTGTCACTGTTTTTCGAGTTTGTAAGCCGTGGATTTTTGGAATTTCTTCCTGACGTTTCGCAGGCGCGAGTGGCTAGCTTCTTCAGAGGTTTAACCATCATGGTTTGCTGTCCGATGGCTAACTTTTAGGCTTCGTAAAGCGTATTTATGTCTTGTCAGGTAATCAGTTGTATTGGTACCTGTATTTGTACCTGCACTTGTACCTGTACTTGAACCTGGAACATTAACAATCTTGCTGTCTGTTGTCATTCCGTTCGTCATTCTCGAATTCCTTAAAACGGGGTTCCATATTCGATTGAGGTTCACCGCTTCTTCTTTTCTGTTGAAATTCTCCGTGTGTTTGTGGATCTCTATTGCCTCCCGTACCAGTCGGCTATGGTATCCCTGGTTGGAGGCATTTAGTTTTGTTTTCAAACAAAACTATGTGGTCTCCTTCACTAAGCGCGTGTTCTGCCACATCTGACTTGTCCGCTTGGCCTAGTCTACAGTTCCTTTTGTGTTCTTTCATTCTTGTTCCCATGGATCGTTTGGTGCTTTCGATATATACCTTTCCACAAGTGCACGGTATGCCATAGACCCCTGCTGCTGATAATGGTCTCTTTTGCCTTTAGCTGACCTAAGGCTTTGTTGTATCTTCCTCGTGGGTTTGAAGACTGTTTCCATGTCGTGTTTGCCCAATAGTTTTCCAATTCTGTTCGTGACCCTAGGGATAAACGGTAGATATGCGCGTGCAACCGTCTGATCCTTTTTCGCTTTTTGAACAGAGGTGCTCTTCGGTTTCATGGCTTTCCTGATCTCGGAGGCACTGTATCCATTCGATCTCAAGGTCTCAAGGTATTTCAGTTCCCTCTCCAGAAATACCATCACTTTCACCATCAACGCTGGTTTTCCCCAGAGATCCATATTGTCTCCAACCCTCCTTATATTGTATATCAACGACAAGAATCTGACACACATCTTCACTATGAGCGGTAGGTTGCATATCCTAATGAGGTTCAATTCAATTCCACAAAAACCCAGGCATCGGTTTTCTCCAAAAAGGTAAATGTCTCCAACTGGATATAATGTCAGGGAAGACAATTCAGCGTTTTGCTTCTTTAAGTTTGTTGGCGGTTAAAATGGACACCGATATGTCTTGGCACAATCATGTCGTTGGAATTGCAAAGGCTGCTTCTCAAAAGTTTGGAACACTGTTCCAAACCAGAAAACTGTACAAACCTCAGCAATTTATGTAACATAAAATTAAGTATTGATTAAATCATAAAATATAGCATGAGTGTCAAATTATTTCACAAACTTCACTGTATATTCAAAACCAGTATGACATTGCTGTACGTGGCTTATGAGCAATGTCGGAGGACAGTGGGAGGCGCATGGGGTCTTTCACCCCGTGAAGTCGCCTGGATATCCACTGCAATAATAAGACCTATGTTAACGTATGTAGCCATTGCATGGGGACCGAAAGTTCTACAAGCAACGGCCATCCAAAAATTATACCAAATTCAACAAATGGCTTGTTGAAACATCACTGGAGCCATGAGAACAACACCAACCGCGGCAATGGAATTAATCACGGGTCTGACCCCTCTGGATCTGTACGTTAAGGAGGTTGCGTTAATGACCATGGTACGATTGCACACGGCTGGTGTAAACCTAGAAGTAGGAATGGGTCGATTGAGGTTGGGCCTATGGCGGGAAGCGCTTACTGCGCAACCTCTGCTGCAGGCAACAAGTGATGCAATTGAACCCAGGTTTGTGTTTAATGAACCCTACAAAATACAAATTAAGCAGAACACAGATGCTACAAATGCAATACGGATTTATACAGATGGCTCAAAAACCAAAGAAGGCTCAGGATGTGGAGTGTACTCCAGATCACTAAGCCTAAGGATTAAGTGGGGAATGGGAAGAAATACCAGAGTGGTCCAAACAGAACTGGCTGGTATCTCAATCGCCACAAAAGAAATAACCATGAAAAGAATTTCTGGCAAAAACATAACAATCTGCACTGATAGCAGACAAGCACTATTAGCCTTGAACAGACACCGTGTTACTTCAGGGCTAGCACTAGAGTGCCACCAAGATTTAGCCAAAGCCTCGGTAGATAATAACATTATCCTGAGGTGGGTTGAAGGGCACGACATGAGTAAAGGTAATCGCATTGCCGACTCTTTAGCCAAGGAAGCGGCTGGACTAAGAATTTTAGGACCAAGTGGCACCCACGGCCTGATGACTTCGACAATTGCGGAACTAGTCAAATGTTACACCCATGCTCAATCTTTAAAGAGATGGGATGAAATCAAAGGATGTAATCTTGCCAGGATCACCTTGGGCGACCCTGGGAAGCTGGCGCCGAAGAAAAATCTGGCGATGACCAGGAAAAATCTACGCCTTACAGTAGGATTTCTGACTGGCCACTGTCAGCTAAGGAAACACCTACATAATATGGGGTTAGTGGACACACCTCTATGCAGGATGTGTGAACAGGAAGATGAGACTGTCAGGCATGTCCTGTGCGAGTGCCCGGAGTTATCGTCAGTAAGAGAGTGTGTGTTCGGCGAGTCTTGGCCTACACCTGCCGATATAAAGGATATGTCTCCCAGCGACCTGTCCACCTTCCTGGAAAGGACAGGATGGACGACGACCTAGGAGGACAACTCCTCGGGAGGATGTACAATGGGTCACATGTGGCCTAAGTGCGTGGGCTTACACTCACCCTCCCTACTCTACAGACAGACAGATGCCATTGCTGATATTGTCCGCATAAAATTCACATAACTTGTCCATAGCACTACAGTGAATTTCTAACAAAATTATCTCTTTTACGAATATATAACTTCCAAGGAGTAAATTCCATACTGTAATAACCCTCTCTTTGATGGCAACTTCCCTCATAAAACTTCGTCCGAGAGATTTTCCATCTGTGATACTCAGTGAATACAAAAATATCTCCTCAGCCATTCAATCCACTAGAAATCTGAATGTGAGATGAATATTTCAGCTCTATATATGGGATGAACATGTTAATGTTTAATCTTCTAAAACCGCACGGCCCACTACAAACATGTTCCGTCTCTCTCTTTCAAGATATAAAAGCATCACAGTTGGCATATATTTGAGGCAATAAAAATGAGACTAAATTATGGGACACTGTTGGATACGCCCCAGTACGGGGTCAGCTTTGAATGGAAGGAAATTGGAAGTTTTCCAGTGTCTTTTCGAATGCATAGCTTAATTTCATGCCAGCTAGACGCTATCAAAAGAAATGTTTCTGGTTTGGTAACTGAGACGTTACTCAAATTT